AGATAACTTGACTAGCACAATTGTAAGTTCGACCATCTCACGAACCAATTGTATCAATTCTTCCTTTGAAGGATTCACATGGAATTGGAAACCAGTGCTCTGGTTAATATCAAAATTATTTGTAATTCTCTTTTAACCATTTCAGCGATTTTCTTTTATTTTTTGCTTAAAACTTTATTAATCATAGATGGTTTTTATTTGCCTAAAATTTTAATCAAGCAAAACGTGCTGGAGAATCCGGGTATCGATCCCGGTACCTCCCGCATGCGAAGCGGGCGCTCTACCATTTGAGCTAATTCCCCACATACAGTTATCAAGGACATGCAAATGAACATATTCAAGAAAAACAAAGAAAGATGTTTTCGTGTGTCTTGTTGCAAGCAAAGGACAAAGCAAATAATCTGTTTGTCCATGAGGAATCGAGCCTCCGAACTGTGGTTTTCTACCATTATGCTGTGATAACCCTTTTCTTGGCAAAACAATTACCAATATTATATGTGACACGTGTTCTAAGTGCTGGTTGGATCAACAGCGTAGAATGATGCGTCATATTTATCTCAACTTGGCTTGAAATACTATTTTGCAGGCAAGTATGAGAGTTGAAGTAGAGGATAGAAAATGAACAGAGTCGCAAGGAGTTAAAGTTAAATTTGCAGCCTTGAGAGGGTCATTGAGACATTTTACGATCACCTCTCTTCATGTTGTGTAGTTTAAAAAGCAAGAAAATCCTGATAGCGTCAAAAATAAAACGGAAACACGGACGCAATGAAAAAATTATAATAATAACTACACAACTTCGATGAATGAAGAAGTTGAACAACCAGTTCAGACCTTGATTCATCCGGTGGTCCTTTTTCAAAAACTATTTCGAGGCTCAGTTTTCGTCTAGAGTGTTCAATTTTAATTTCAAACGCAGAATGTAAGTAGAGTAAAATAGTAATTTAAATTAGTTATATATTATGCTTTGACATCATGAGACTTGGAGAATCTGGGAATCGATCCTGGTACCTGGTACCTTTTGCGTGCAGGCACACTATTATTGTAGCTTATTGACCCCCACGGGGGGTTAATTGAACAAACTTAAGAATACTACCCTTTAGCTCCCATGAGTGACCAAGACAGAATTTCTCCTTACAATTTCAATACAACTTCATGCAGACAAGTGATGAGAATAAAGAAAAATATCAATTTGGGGATTATTAGTTGATCCAGTTCCAAATTCTCCAAACTTATATCATATGAATTGTAACTAACTAATTGTAATTAACATCAGGCAGTCCAGCGTAAACCGCCACGAACATAGAACAGTAACGTATGAGTACTGAGCTTACGAGAACTCAGTGTAAAAGCAAAAGGCAGTCTATGAGTAAATGTGCCCACTACTGTACAGTTGTAGAGCATTGCATTTAGAAAGCAATGTTGCATAAAATGCAGAGGGGTCAATGAACAGCTCTCGTTGATGCCAAAATTTTGACAAAAGGAGGACTTAGTAAGAACAGATTTAGTACACTGATCGCATGACAGGGCCGGTGAAAGGGCAGGGAATTCATGCAAATACAGCGGGTATACAAACAAACGCTCTGGATACCTGGCGCAATGGATGTGTTTACTCCTCTTGAAAACGAAGAAATAAAGTTCGAGCTTTTCTCTTGTCTCTCTTGTCTTGTCTTTTTCCTTTTTTCCCTTTTTTTCCTTTTTTTCCCTTTCAATTTACATTCTAATAAAAGCTATGTCTGGTTGCAAAATCGTACCACGACATGGTGAAAAAGAGATTTCAAATGTACTTAGAAACGTTGCTAACTTCCAATGGCAGTGAAAAACGTACATGTGAGCACACTTGACGACGTGGCTTTACGTTCAAATCGATAACAAGTCGTAATCCAAAGGTGAGATCCTGAACAAAAATCGTACTAAGCCCGACAAAAACAAATATGAATCCGAAGAAACCCGACGAGATTTGTTCAACGAGCATCAGAATCGGAACTGAACCAGATTACACAAATCGAGACGAGTCATAAAAGGCGTTACGAGTGTCTCACGATAGTCCTCCATTTTGGAAATAGTGTGGAGTTTTTAATTTGGGAGAAGATTTACGGACTTACGCAACACCGTAACATAATGCCTACGGTCTTCCTAGAAGGAAGGCACATTAGGCACAACAAGCATATCGAGTTTAGCGCGGGAAAATACCTGTGAACGAGGAGAACCTCGGTTTACTGTTACATGTTATTGGTCGAGAGGATGACTTGAAGTTTTATGGACCAATCAAAGAGCATGGTGAAACAAAATCAACGTAATCCTGGATAGCGTAGGAGTTCATTACAGATCAATCTCAAGCCCAAAGTCATTTCTTCTCCTTGTCAGCGGTATGGTCGCTAAGTAATTTCTTGCCGACTAAACCGCTGACAAGGGTCTGAAATGACCTTGGGCTTGAGACTGGTTAGAAACTTGCTCCAGACGCAGAAACGTGACAAGATTTCCTATTACTACCCTCTCGGTTACAGACTTAGCCTCCGGTCCCGTTCGACAAAGCCATTCTAACGTCACTAATCTAATAAAAGTCTTTACGAATCTTCGAAGATAAGCCTCGGATTATCCCAGATCTGTAAATTGAAAATATTGAACAAAGTCAACTTGGGATGTCTTTCGTTGAAAAATAATTTTTCGTGTCTAAAATCTTATCAGGATTGTTCGTTTTTTTTTTCTTCCTTGTTGTAATCAAGATTTCCGGGTGGTGTGTCTGTCACAAAGTGTAATTAACTGCAAAGGACACTGATGAATTCGTCATGCAAGGAGAGAAAATGACCTTCACATTGCCACGATGACAATATTGTTTGAGTTTTTATTAATATAAAACCCTGCTGTAATTCACAGATAGCCAAATTAATTTGCAGACGATTGAATGCCTTTAACAGTTTGCCATGAAATAATCGAAAAAGATATTAGATTTAATCACAGCATGATAACTTATGATTCCCAAGATCAAAATCAAAATTTCTCAGTTACCAAGACGAGATATATTGAATTGCAAATGCATGCCAGGGAGACGTTTACATTAGATATAAGTTGTGTTTCCACCTTTAAAGAAAGAAATAAGCACCTGAGGGTTGTGAAATAACTGTAAATTTTCGTGTAACCAATAGCATTAGGGCGGCCTGCAGGAATATTCGAAGGTCAATGCCTTCATCTCTAGAAATAGCTGACTACAGAACCTACAAGACACCTGATTTTAAGGATAGTTAGTTATAAAGTGCATGTTACGAAAAGACACTGGAAGGGTGGGATTTTTTTGTTTCGAAGACAGTTTAATCGAGGGATTTCAGATGGTTTTAATTTCAAATTAAAACTGATCCATTCAAATAGAACTGTGCAAACAGAGGCTGCGAAATTGCCTTGGCTCGACCGGCCTGAATGTTGCAGCTTGACGTTGAAACGTTTTCTTTTTCTTTCACTGCATATTATTTATTGAAAAATAAGTTATATTGCGGTGGTCGTAAAATTGTTCCGAGTCTGACTTAAGCTTAACGAATTAATTACAGCAATCACCATATAGAGCGTTTAAACTGAAAAAACAATTTGTAGCATGTTTACACTAACGTACCGACAAATGAAAGAATTGAGAGAGTGTTTTCAAACCAGCTAAGCAGATGTGCTTAAGTTATACAATAGCGGGCGCGTCAAAATGATCAGTAAACATTATCAACTGGATTTAGAGAAAAAGTTCTGGAGCTCGCTATTTGAATCTAGAAGACAAAACACTCCAGGCTTAGGGGAATATTTCTACGGTAAGACATAAATATTTGGCTTTTAAAGCCCCTTGTGGATTTGTAGTTAGTTTTTCGCTACAATAAGTCTAATTAAAATTTTTAATTTTAGTCTTCAATTTACCGGCTTTCAATATGCTGACAACATTAATTAAACTTTCCTGTAAACCATGTTGAATTCTGCAGATACATTTTGACTGAAAGATTTCTTCGGGGATTTATCAAATTATTTTTTTGGGAAATTTAGTTTTAATGACTGAAACAAGTCTAATTTGTTTTAGGGAAAATATGAGCATGTTTGAATACAGGTAACGAGGTAGTTATTCAGTTTTGACATAGCGAAATAGTTATTTTGACAACAAGGAACATGTTTCGTTACACATTCAAAAACACCCTGGGCACGTTCCTTGCATTCAAAACAAATGATCAGGTACAAAAATTCTGCAATTTTACTATTGAACAGCAAATGTCTCGCACGGAAACGAACAAGTATTGGAGGAGTAACAATAATGATTAACTCGCCGCATTTTTCGCCCTTCAAAAAAACCTTTAATCACGAAAAACTGTTGTGAACACAAAGACAGCATTAATATTTGATAACCAATCATCGCAATGGAACTATACAGATGATCAAAAACAAGAAACTTATCGGTGATGTTGGGCGAGAGTTATCTAGATTCCAATTCGTAAAAGGAAATAAATTTCTTAAGTCTATCACAGAAGATTAAATTTCGCAAGATAGCGAATGAAAATGCTAAGAACTTTTTTCAATTACTTCAATTTTTTTCTTATTGAAAATAAACACATGATTTATATTCAAATATGTGTTCACTGAATAGTTTTTCACTTAGTTTAGCCGACTCATTTTACACGAGAAGTAGCTCTTAATAGAACATACTATCATAGCTGATAAAATTCACCGCCTGAGCTGTGTACAACTATGAATAATGATACCATATTTTTGCGCCCCCAGACTTACCACAGAGGCAAAAACAAAAATAAAATATGGATGAGGTGGGTGTTACGGTCAAATCAAAACTGAAGAAAATTCTGCGGGATAAACATTACGTGCATTTACGGCTTTGAGCGGTCTGCAACGAGTGCGCAAGTCAGTGGATAGTTGTCTCAGGAAAAGGAGATACTAGAAAGATTTAAGAAACGCGAGCTGGCCTCGCAAATTAGCATTTGGGACGGTAACTGAAGTGATAACTCGAACTATATTGCTTGAAAGGTATCATGGACACGGCAGAAAATGGCACAAAGATGGACAAAAGTTCGCCCGCGCTGTCGCCAACTTCAAGTATATTTTTAGCCCTTGTGCTGGTTTTTACAGCTGTTGTGAACATCATTTCAAATGCGTTAGTGCTAGTAATTTTAGCGCGAAACAACCGCCTTCGTACATGTACAAACGTTTTCATCGCTAATTTGAGTGTGGCGGATTTATTAGCAGGTATGATTTTACTACCTGCAGCTGCCGAATCGCTTTTTTCGCGAGATGACCAGCAAATGGCAGACGTGAGCTACACTCTAGTGTGCGAATTCTACGGGTTTTTAAATTCGCTTTATGGAATCAGCTCCTCATTAACGGTTGCCGTTATAGCATTGGATCGCTATCACAGTATATTAAACTGCCTACAATACGAAACAATCGTTACACAACGGAGAACAGTGTTGCTAATAGTTTGGATTTGGCTACAGGCAATTTTTGTCTCGTTCTGTCCCCTTGTGGGCTGGGGGACGTTTTCGCTTAACCCTAGTCAACGTTGTTCTTCGCATTCTCCCGACAAACACGGATTTATTTACTTCAAAACAGCTACCTGCGTGATTCTCCCCTACGCGGTTACAGTCTTCTGTTACATTAGGATTCACGTTGTGGCACGAAGGCACGCTCGAACTATCGTAAACATTCAAATTCGTGATGCGCGAAATAGACTCAAAAGCGGCGGCGTCAACGCGAATCTTTCAGCTTCGAAGAAAACGATCATGGTTTATGTTGTCCTTGGTGTATACACGGTCTGTTGGATGCCATATTACACTGGACAACTCTTAATAACTGCATTCCCTTCGGTAAAACTTCCTGGGAAATTTTTATTAACTGCAGCTGCGTTATCGCTCGTCAATTCGGCATGTAACCCCATTATGTATGCATTAATTACGAGCCAGTTCCGAAATGGACTAAAACGCGTTTATCGCCAGATTCGACGCCGCATTTTTTCCGGCGACGCGCGGCAGGTTAATCCGAATGGACCGCGCGGCGATTCTCGAAGTTCATGGACCTTTACAAGATCTAGTGCAAAAAGATTTTTCGCTACAAGCCACGAGGCAACAAGGCCAAAACTTGTTATCACAGACATGAATCCAGTTTGTGCGGTCATTCGAGAGGAAAGTTCTATGAACACAAAACCACCCTCGCCGCCCGAAGAAGCGCGGGAGACTGGAACCTTCCTCTCTGTCTATCCACTGACGTTACAGGTACCAACAGAACACAGGCATTCAACAAAGAAAAATCCTGAGAAAAGTCCCAGGGAGTTGAAAGTTAAGAAAAATGGATGGATAGGGAAGTAATACTTGGAAACATTTTGCTTTTCTTCTAACGCTCGGCGGATTAATTACTTTTTGCGTGAGTGGTGACCTTAAAATAAAGTGGTTAATACTGAGCAGGTTTTGTTTGGTGTCTCTCCACAGATGGCCCGATAAATGAATAATCATTATCTATCAGATGTAGGGATAAAATTTTCACGCAAGATTCTACGATAAAAAAATCGAACTGATTATTTCTCCTGCACGAATTTACGCTCCAGAACAATCAAAAACCTACTAAGTGTAATGATACTTTTTTTTCCATTTTGCGCTTACTTGAGAGAGCCCATAGGTTTATAATAAATCCATTATTTTTGCTTGTAGTTTATTTTCAATCGTGACAAATAATCCCATATTGAAACTGACTACTCTTGTGTTTTTTTAGAAGGATAATACTCCTAAAAATAAGATGTAAAAATGAGCGAAAGAACCTGTAATTGTTTATTTCGGACGTTGTTTCCCTTTGAGTCATTTCAATATATTTAGTGATGACGTCTTTTGGTCTCTTCAATGAGTAAATTTTGGTTTAGGCTCGATTTCGCGGGAGAAATTTTATCCTTGAAAACATCAGAGTTCCTCTCAGTTAATGGCAAGAGATAACAACAACAAAAAAAAAAAAAGATCATAGTAATAACCCGAAAAAGGTAAATGCTTCTCGATTTGCGTCCATTCGGTTAATTTTTCGGGCTAAAAGGTTTGTGGATTCTATCTTGTGTTTGTTTTAATCGATGGCTCAGAGATGTCGGTGTCTTTTAGTCCTTTTGAATTTAGCCACTTTACAACTTTGGAATTGAAATTTCGAACAAAGTGGACTCTGCACTTTTACAAAACAAGCTAAATTACGCACACTCATTGATTGCGTTGATGTCAACTGTGATCTTTTACTTCCTAACACAGACCCACGGCAACGTACAACGTGGAATCTTAATAGTTAAACTGACTTGACGAACTTTACAGTTAGGACAATATCGGAATGGAACACCATAGAGCCAAGCATATGTCAGAAAGCATCAGTTGCAAGTTTCAAGCTCAGTCTATACGATGAATTTTTATTTAACCAGAAAGCTTACTAACGACTTCAAATACGAATTGGAATTGTCTTTTTAATGCAGGATAAGTTTTTTTATTTTTCATTGTTGATAGGATATTTATCTTTAAGCCTTGTGGTGTATTTTTATCATGCCGTTTTTTTTTAAGTATTTTCTCAGTATAATGAGGGCCAAGAGTTCATCAGAGTTTTTACTTCTCTCAAATGTACCCCTGTTTAAAACATAATCTTTACTTACTTACTTTACAGTTCCGATCCTTTCCTAGTCTTACCGTCGTTTGAGGCCCATTCGATAACTTCACATATATGGTGTGAGTCGGAACAGACCAGGCCTTCTTCTCCCATTCCTATCACCTTGTTCGCCCGCCGCTTTCTAAAATCATGTTTCAAAACACAAAAAATCCCCAAGGGAGAGTACAGGCAACTAGGTATAAGGAAGAGGCGGACCCCTAGTCACTGCGAAGGGTTTCCGAGACTTCTCACTGCAAACATACGAACCGAATTCAATTCATGCGACTAGTCAAGGGAAATCTATCGCTGATAATAAAAGATTTTCAAAACTGCTCTATGCCACTTGCAACAAATTCAAGCCGCAATGTTAACCAGCGAATAAAAAAAGAAATGATTTTAGGACACCGCAGAATTCGGGGCCGAGGAATGATGCGCACGAAAAGAAGGTGCCTCACTCCAAGAGTTCAGTGCGGCGTGCTAACATGAACTTCTTTTCCGCTGATTTTTTTCTTGACTCGCGCGACGAACTCAGCCAAAAAGCAGGGATTGCTTGTAGTATGGTTGACTTGTGTAAGTTCTCTGAAGCATAAAACAATGAGTCTAAAAGCCCATAGCCTATGTAATCAAAAATTCAAATACAATCATATATATATATATATATATATCTTTATTTAGTACCCGTCGTAACCGATCGTAACGTCGCTAGGGAATAGCAGGTGTATGATATCGACGTCCCAGTTATACTTAAGTTTATAACACGCGGAGAGAATATATTTGAAGCAGCCAATATTTTTGCATAATCAGTACAAACAAAAAGTACGAGACAATGATGGGTTCCCTGTGTTTGTGGAAAAATGCAATCTCATAGCCTATAAAAACAGCAGACGTTAAACTGTTTACCCAACAAAGTTAATTCACTGTTTTCTCGTTCGATCCATAGAACACAGATCCTTTAGGACACACTTATGATTCTTTTTTACTACCAAATGTACTTTCCAGTTCTTTAACACAGCGTTGTCCTCTAAGAAAGTCGATGTCACCGTACCAGAGTGCTTCCTGAAAGAGTTACTTTCCCCCCAAGACTTTGGCATGGTATAAAGGCGATCATGAGTAAAAATTGAACCCAGATCTTTCTGATGGAAGAGCAGAAATTCGTGAAAATCTTCAATGGCATGGGGGCATTCATTCGGGGCCATAGACACTGGTGAACTCTGCTCTCGGGCGTATTTCAGTGCCGAATCCGTCAATGATGGCTTGTGATGTCGAGTCCTCCGTGGCAATGGTTTTAACCATTTGTTCAAAGATGTACTGGTCTCCAATTCCGCGTATTCGACCAATTCTACTTTGATGCACCTGATTATCTTCCAAGCCGCTTATCTGTAGAATGCTAACATTCGCGCCCCCAAACCTAACATCGGCTAACCAGAGTTCGTCCTCGATGTTTACTCCAAGAACTGTGAGAAGGTAACCTTATCCTGCAAGTTTTGTAGTCGTACACTGAAGCCGAGTAAAACACATCTTAATTGTAAACTGCTTACTCAATCGGTCCTTACCAGTTTCTAAAATAAACATTTGTCCATTCTAACTATTTTCTGTGATTTTTTTATACTCAGTTTGATTGTTTGTTTGACCTCAGGGTAAATGGCTGAATACTAATCCCGGAAGAAGTGGAAAGCTCTGCTATAAACTACATCACCAAAATTTTAGATTGGAAAATCTCTTTCACATAGGTATGATGGAACCCTTTCACTCAAACGAAACGTCCGGTCACTTGAATCTTGCAGCAGACAGTTATATCTCTTACTTAAGTGAAATAATTTTTAGCCCTTCAACTTTTGCCAAAATACCAATTTTTATTTAGACTCTGAGTTATAGCTTCTTGTTTGTTATCGTAAGTTGTAAAAATATCTCAGGCGATCTTAAGGAGCATTTACAAAAACTCTTTTGCAGGGTTACTTTATAAACCACTTGAAGCTGATAGGTCTTTGTAAAAAATTCAGGAGGTAATCCGCTTGTTTCAGAAGCCTTCCCCTTCAGTCATTTAAATTTATGTCAAACAAACATACAGCTTTCAAAAACAACAACAACAACAACAAACTCAGAAAAAAAACTGAGTTGACCAAAGGTTATCACAAAATTTAATGGAGACTGATTGAGTAAGCAATTCACAATAACAAACAGATGATAGGAAGGCAGCGTGACGAAAGGAAGTTTCCTATAATTAAAAATGAATAGAAAGTTTTTTCGATTGTTTTTTAATATCACTTGATAAGCATGTACAATGTTCTTTTGATTTTACTTTGAGAGGTATCAAAACTAGTGGCTTATATGGCATAGGCCAAGTGGAACATAACATGAGCCGCTAGTTACATCTCAGTAAATTCATGCAAAATTACAACAACAATCATTGACCACGCCCTAACATCAGTATGCATATTCTCCATACTGTTCTGTACACGTTGCCTAAGTTGCTGACAAGGAGAACTTGTTTAACAATCACAAGATTTTTTTGTTGATTTGCATTTCCTTTATTCGTGTGACCTTAATGTGTGACTCAGGGGGGATATCGTAGGGAGAAAAGGTTAACAGACCCCTTGGGGGGGAGGGAGGAGGTTGAAGTAATTTTGAAGGAGATCTCATGGATTCTGACTACACTCAGGCGAGATATTCAAAGTGAAAGTTATTTAGGATGAGTCAGCCAGTCTTGTAGTCTACACATCCTACTACAATCTGCAATGTACTGCAAGTATTCACTGAAACTGAAGGGTTATACAAAAATAGGCTGTGCTAAGCCAGATACGAAAAACCACTGAAAAACCACTCTTTAGAAGTGGCCAAAAAATATGTGGAAACGTATTCCTCATCTAATACAGCAGCACTATAACCCGAGGAAAGGGTAGCTAAAATAAACTAGTTACACTACCAATCACACAGAAAATTCAATGAATGCGGTGATATTTTACAGAGAGTTGTAAAACAAAATTACATTAAATACAAAAAAAAAAAAAGAAAGCGGTCAAACCTAAGACTGACCGACGAAGAATGATTTAATTTTTCCCGCGAAACGCTTAAATAATCCGACACCACCGTGTTGCCATGCGAACCTCTTCAACGTGCCCTCAAAATTTTAATTTCTGACTAATTCGTTCCCATGTCACTCAAACGTCAGAAATTACATTTTTCGAACGGAGGTAGGATCAGTCATCACCAAAAGAGTATAAAGAAGAGAATATAGAAAATTGACTGTCAGTTTACGTTCACCGCTAATGAGGGAGGAGTCATTACAATATTGCAGAGCCTTATGGGGGAATTAGGTTAATATGATTGTGACACAACCAAACTCAACTGACCTCTCACATCCATCCCACCTCACACCTCTCTGACAATGAATAATGACCAGTCCCTTAAGCATAGCAAAACGACGAATTGCAGTTAAAGAGTCTTAGAATGAATTTAGTAATGGCCAAAATGATTTTACTTTTTCCAAAAGATCTTAATTACCTCGTTTTATTTTGTTTAATTAGAATTCGCGTGACGAGAACTAAAGAATTTTCTTAAAACTCCAAACAAAGGGGTAACAAATTTGCGCGAATGAAAGCTCAAAACAACTGAAAACAAACAACGTAACAAATGTACGCGAAATATGTCCACATCAGTTTTTATTGTCAAAGTTTGAGTTCTTTGACGTGATCGGCTAATTTGTAAAATCACGCGTGGTGCGCGTGAATACTAAAAGGATACAAGAGAGGAGAGAAAGAGGAAAATTGTAATTTAAATTTAAAAACGAAAGAGACTTTCTACGAACAGCGTACGGAAAGAGTATTTTTTAAATCGATGTTTTCTTGCTCTGATCTGATCCGCAGTACATGGAACCTTCGGGGTATAGACAAGATTCCTTTCTTATTCCAAACTGCTGTTCAAGTTCATTTACTACATTCTCCTCTCTACCGAGAAGTTCCTTTGTTCCCTTTCTGATCTTGTTGTCTCCCAGATAAGTCGACTTTGTCAGTTTGTTCCCCGAAAGAGTTATCCTTCCCCAGGATTTTTCCATAGTACAAAGGCGATCGTGGGTAAACGGGGATTCTGGATCTGTTTGGTGGAAAAATAACATTTCATGAAAGTCACGTGTTTCTCTAGGAATGAGTTCGAACCTACACCTTGGAGACCATTCATTGTCGGTGGTAACATTCACCTTTGCTTTTTCTTTGTTACCAAACTCGTCAACCATAGTTTTTATTTTCTCTTCGTAGAAATACCGGTCGCCGTCTTTTCTAATACGATACATCGACTTCGTTTGCGTCAAAACGCTTCAATTCGTGCGCCATCGTTATCAATACCAATATCATTATCGCGTGACCAGGATTCGTGACTTCTTGCGCACTTCACCTACTAATAGACGTTCATATATTGGCATCGGACAGCGTCAAGGAAATATGGCACAGGAACAGTTTACTCCTGAAGAGGTTAAGGAATATTTAGCTCGTATTCATTATAATATATATATATATATATATATATTTTTTTTTTTTTCCCAGCATACTGAACTGAGGACGTTCGGAAATCGAACGCAATCCATAGAGTTGGGTGATCAAATGAATCGAACTCTATCGAGCACAATCTAATGGTTCCGTGGATAAATTCGCTTGAGCAACACCAGTTTAGCATCTAAGAGCTCCAACGCTCTGATAAACCGAGACGAAAAAGGAGAGCCCATCATTTATCTCGTCCTTTTATTTACTGATTATTCAATTAAATTCACCGCTTCGGCTCTACGTGTTGTTGAGTTGTAATCTTTAAAATAGCTGGGACTTAAACAAATTGGAAGCCAAGAGAAGGGGAGGGCTTCTGAAAACATAGGCATGCTAGGCATGCAAATGTTTTTTTTAATAGTGGGCGGTTTGAGATAGGAAACTTTGAGTTTAATTAAATTTTGTGACAGAAAAAGAGTATTTACTTTCAAAGTCTCCAACAAAAGTACCATTCGATGGAAAGTAAAAAAGACCCTTCGAATTTATATGAAATAAACTAAGACACTGGTATTTTGTGATCTGTTTTCACTGTTGTCTGAACAATTTTAAGCGGAGATAAACTGCTTTGGTGCCACGGTTACTGTAGTCTTGTCACGCAACACACTCTCTCGAGAACGCGCTTCGGTAAAGCGTTTCTAATTTTATCGCAGAGTGTAAACCGAACTCCATTTTATCCTCAAGACATCCTAACCAAAGATATTTCGCGGTCTCCGTTTTTCGAAGAAGTTAAAATTCATTAAAAGATGACAAAAGAATCATATTCCAAAGGCTCTCAGGAGGACATTAAAACGGGGGGGGCTGTCCTGGTGTACCGGTACACGAGGGAATTCCTTTTGTTTTCATAACCATACATGGAGTTATGACGCAGTTCGTTAATGTTTCCTTCCTTTGTGTACCGGTACACGAGGACACAACCAAACGGGGGCACTAAAGCTAAAACTCAGCAATGAAAAAAAAAAAAATAATAATGATGCTTCTGCACAAGTTAAAGAACAAAATATTCTTCCACTTCCGTGTAAGTTAATAAGTGCCTGCTGCCAGTTCGGAGCGACTGGCTGTCCCGTTCGAGTGAGAGCGTGAAATTGACAAGCGCAAGACGTCACGCACTTCGATCACACAACACTTGGCTCATGTAACAATGGCGGATGAGTTTCATGCTTTGACCGCAAACGAAGTAGAGGAATATTTAGCTCGTATTCACTTTACAGGCCCAATAGAACCAACTCTTGACATTCTTAAGGACCTGCAAAAATGTCATATTTTATCAGTTCCCTTTGAGAACTTAAGTGTGTTCGGAAAGGAGGAAATAGTTCTCTCCAAAGATTGGTTGTTCGACAAAGTCGTTCAAAGACATCGCGGCGGGTATTGCTATGAACTTAACTCGAGTTTTTCGTTACTTCTTGATCATTTTGGGTACAGCTACGGAAGAAAATCTGCTGCGGTCTACAGCCGCAAATCGGGGCTTATAGGATCATCGATTGATCACTTGATAAACGTCATAAACATTGGAGATGAAATGTGGTTGAGTGATGTCGGTTTTGGAGATTCGTTTCTAACTCCTCTCCTCATCGACTGCTCTGCAGATGAACAGGAACAACAAAGTGGGACGTACCGTATTAGGAAAGATGGCGATCAATATTTCTACGAAGAGAAAGTGAAAACCATCGTTGACGAGTTTGGTAACGAAGAAAAAGCAAAGGAGAAATTTATCACCGAAGCTGAATGGGCTATCAGGTACAGGTTTGACCTGACTCCTAGGAAAATAGAAGACTTCCATGAAAGGCTTATTTATCATCAAACAGACCCTAAGTCTCCGTTTACCCACGATCGCATATGCACCTTGGCAAAACCTTGGGGAAGGTTAACCCTTTCAGGGAACAAACTGATAACTTCAACCTATCTGGGAGACAACAAAGTCAAGAAAGAGACCGAGGAACTCAGTGGAGAGGAAGAGATTGTAAACGAACTAGCACAGAAGTTTGGAATAAGAAAAGAATCTTGTTTATACCCTGAAGGATCCATGTATCACGGATTAGAACTGAAATGAAATATTTCTTAATTCAAATTCATTAAGGGCTTTCTGCTACATAATTGTATGGGGCAAAAATTTTATTCTGCCAACCCTTACCTCTTAGCAGTGCATCGCTGAACACTTGGAAAGGAACGTTAAATATGAAAAGGAATCACACTGATGGTCACAGATTGTCTTCTTGAAAGATTTTCTCAGAGGAATAACTTGTTAAGAGGTCTTTTAAAAGTTGTTATCAGTCCTTACGAAGCAGCTGTTTCAACAGTTCATTGATAATAGTTAGATAGTCATGCAATGAATAATAATATGGAAGACCCTTCACGCAAAGTCAATTCGAAGCAAATGAATGGATTCCTTCTTTTCTTCTGGAGCAGTCAGGTCGAACAGGCGATGTTACCCTCAGATGTTACAACCGCAAATGGGTCGTTAAAACTTAAAACCTAGATGCTCTTAAATCAAAATCGGTTGCTCTTTGATCAAAATTCGCACAAATGCTAAATGTTTCTCTCGTCGATACTTTCAAAATATGTGTTGTGAACAAGGAAGACAGATTCATGAGTGCAGAAACAGTTTCAAACAATTTAGCTTTTGTGATAGGGTGAATACATTGGTTCAGTTTCTTTTCACTAATATTTACATTTTCAATGGTCTTCACAGTCAACTGTTAAAGGCAAAACCTTTAGCTCATATTAACCCTTCTCAGTATTTACTTACAGTAACAATGCTATATACAAGTTGATGAATACACCTTTTGTTGACACAACTGACTGGATTTGTCCCAAAAAATGTTTAGAAAACCATTTGTTTATTTAAAATCACTAACGTTTGACAGCAAGCAGAGTCTTTTAACAAAGTTCTCTTGAATGGAATGTGAAGTTCTGGTCTTCAAAGAGATCTGAGTCTACCTCAAATTCTAAACCCTTAAGGTTTTAATATAAATTCTCCTTACTGTCTCCCACACAATTCATAAAACTTAAGTTCTGAGATTTGTATCATAAATCAGGCAAGATCCCCTTATTTCTTTCCATGACTTCCTGTTAGACAGAGTAGTCATATTTGTACACAGAGGTTACTTTATGTTTACTCTTGAGGTTTGGGGAGATGTATAAATTTCACATTATTCATTCCTGAATTCCTTAGATTTACAAGAAAAGTTGCAGTGATGTAAACTTCATAGGACAAGACTGAGTGCTGTTGCTCTTAAAATTATAATAATAGGTTTCCTGATCTGATAGTCACGAAACTACAGAAGATTTATGCAGTTAGCACTCACTATTTACCATAACCATTTTTTATCCTCAGCTGCTGGATTTCAACTCATTGAAAAGAGAAAATCTCTCTCTCATCTGTAGTCAAATGCAATCAAACACTACCATTTTTCATGATATTAACTACGAAATAGAAGACTAGAAGAAAAAAATTTATCCTCTTCTATCATACTGCAGTTTGATCACTTAGTTAAAAAACTAACTCACTTAACATGCACTTTGCAATTCCAAGAAGTATTTCCTCTCTTACCCCTACTCCCTGCTGGAGGATTGGTGTAAACATTAAATGAATGTGGGGGGAGGTGGAAGGGTGCTGAAACCTTTCATGTGAGCAGTATGGATATTTCCTGGAAAAACAGATAGATCAATCAAATTTTCCACAGTAGATAAACAGATGTGTGATACATTATTTACAAAAGCTAGAAATACTAATATAGTTTAATTAATTTGTATCAGAAATACAGTACTATTTGGTAACTTGTGTACATATCAACAAACATATCAAGTCCGTCCCGAGCATAATTCTTCATTTCAAGCACTTCGTAACTTGAAACTACCATTAAACATATAGTGAGGCATGGAGACTATCATCCGAACCCATTCCAGTTGCTAGAGGTACAGGATGTTGTGTTTGTCTTGACACCACAATCTTCATCTTTACAAACCTGAACTCTCCAAAATATGTGAACAAGTAGCCCAAAAGAATTAATGCTGTGAGCCATTCAGAAACATCTCCAATGACATGATAAATGTAGTTTCTGTCTGCTGTAGTCCAGCGTGGCATCTTTTTGTAGGGGTCCAGGTTGTAACGAACTCCTTTTACACCAGCATACGAGGTAGCTGTTACGCATATGGCAAAGAAGATTGTAACAGCAATAGCAATGGCCACTCGTAAGATAAAAAGACTGTGTGTGATCACACCACAAGCGCTCATCTTGTAAGAAATAAAAGATTGAACCCAGCAATACAGAATACCTCCCACGAAAATAAGGAGTGCACCGATAGTGTGGATAAATGAGACAGCATCTTCCTGTTTGGAAAGAAACAAAACATTTTAGTCTTTAAGGTGACTTTGATATTGGGAGTTTCTTGTTTTGGCATAGTTTTAGTGCGCTATTGGAAAGTTTATGTATGAATGTAATTAACCCAATTAACTCCCAGAAGTGATTCGCAGGGAACTTCTCCCTACAATATCCATACTTTATCCAGCAAACAAGTAATGAGAATACTCAACTTTATCAGGTGAAAATTATAACTTTTATCAAACACCAAATTCTCATAACTAATTTACATGGAAATAAGTAGCAGGTAGAGGGGAGAATTAACAAACTGGACCCAGTTGTTCAAAGGCCGATTAGTGCAAGCCCAGGGTTAAATTTTAAAGCAGGTTTCTATACTTCTTTTTTCCAAAGCCTTTTAGAGAAAATTTTCCCTATTCTTTTTAGAACATGCAATGATCAAATTGTGAGCAAAGGGATTTTAACTGAATTTTCCTTTAAGCTTTCAGACCTGAAATCAAATTCCATCCTAACCCTGGGTTATCTTAACCCAGATTTGAACAACCTGGGCCAGATCTTGGGAGTTAAAGTGTTACACTCCCATAAGCCCGGTGGCTTCCTAGGTCTCCTTGCCTTCTGGCTATAATCACTGTAAATAAATTTTTTGTATTGTGTAAATAAGGCAAATAAAAGATGATGAAACTATACTATTATTTGTACTGTTAATGACATCATATTAATATCAAAATTTCATTCTATAAAAAGCTATTTATGAAGTGCAAGGTAAGTATAAGGTACAATTAGTAATATTTGAGAAGAGTCTAAGTACAGTAATGTGAGCTTACTTCAAGCTAATTTTGTGTTCATTATTCAGAATTATTTCATATTTTTCTGATGTAATAAGTTAAGGTTTGTACATTTAGTATAAGGGAGGTGATTTTAATTTTACTCTAAGTAAGTATAAAAGTATTCGTGTGGGAATGTATACCTGGAATTTTTCAAAAGCGTAGAATTAAAAGATTTTGTTAAAATGAGTGACTATAATTGTTTCTATGCAGCAAATCGAAATACGGTGTCCAATTTGAATTGCCATTGTTCTGGACTAACTAGCCTCATCTTCACCTTGAAACACAAAAGGATTATCACATGTGTGAGACGCTAGTCAGTCCAGAACAATGGCAATTCAATTTCGATTCGGTGTACTGTACTACATATAACGAAAAATTAACAATAAAGAAACGTTTGTATTGTGAATCAGTTAGCATTATTGTGATATCAGTAAGTTGAGTCATGTTAGTATTGTAAATATATCAGTAATGCAAGTAACACCAGTATTCTTTACAAATTTAGTTTTGTATGTATCGTTGAATAAAAAAAAATTAAGAGGCGAAAACACGCCAGCCAATAAGTTGCTGAAACACGCACAGGAATTAGTACGCTCTGTTCTTTATAATAACCGATTGCACACATATGCATGTAGCTTGGGTTGTTTAAGAAAAAGCTTCTAAGCATAGTTCAGATACATGAAGGTTAACTTCCATGCTGCCTTTCAGTTTAATATTTGACGTTAAATTTGAATTCCTTGGTCGAGAAATCTGGTTAGACATACCGTTGTGATTTTTTAAAAAATAATTTTCCTACATCCAACGTCAGCTTTAAAATTATGCTCATATCCATTGATCTTGCTAAATATTACCTGAAAATTGGCCACTATGCTTCCACCAAGACTTGCAGCTACACCAAGCATCACAGCCAATTTGTTGAGCCTGATAAGAAGAGCCCTATCTCTCTCATTCCAATCAGCATCGTGTCTCAACTGAAGATACCGCACAAAAGTTGTGAAGAGCGCAAGAAGAGAACAAAAATTAAACAGCAGTCCGAAAACGTTGCTCTCTGGCCGGCGACTCGCAGTGTCGCTGATAGTTGGGAACCACGAAGTGTCGTTGCGTACACGGGAAATAATGTAGGTAATCACGAAGGTGACGGCTGATAGCACAGCTAAAAGAAATGGAAGTACTCCAAGGCCACAGCGGATACACATCGTTGCCCTTCGGAAGTAAATGAATTGATAGACCAAAAAATATCCGATAGATAGTTTTTATAGCTCACATGCTTCTCAGAGTCATCTCATTTTCTAAAGTTAAGGCGAAGAACTTACTAAAATAAGGTATGAACTCATACGGGACTCAGTTTCGAAAGTGATTTGCAAGGGAGTTACTACATCACAGGCGACAAGCGGGGAAAAGAAAAAAGATCCAAATACGAGTGGTCAGCGGTGAAACAACATTAATACATCATATATAGACAGATCATTTGTAGTATCAGGAAACAATCGTGTTGTAAAGCCGAAATGTAAACAGTTGACTTCGCTAAATAAAATGTTAAGCAATTTTTCAAAAGTGTTGATTGTACACATATCTTTTACTGCTTTAATAAACAATGAAGGCATCGGTGGTATCCGAAAGGTACCAAGAAGAATTAAATGTACGTTTTGTAGTTGCAGAAAACAATCGTGTTGTAAAGCCGAAATGTTACCAAGTTACACTTCGCTACTTAAAAAGTTAAGCAACTTTCCTCAAGCTTTGAGTGGAACAATACTTTTAATGCTCTATTAACCAACGGAGGCATCGGGAAAGGCATTGGTGACACCGGGAAAGGCATCAAGAAGAATGATATTAACGTTATGTAACTTGTTGTGTGACAAAAAAAAAAACGTATCTTGACAAAAAGCATTAATCACAGTTGGCTTCCTTTTCACTTGAATTTTGTATCCACAGCCTAAGATGAGAAATTTAAAATTTCTATCAGCTGAAATTCTTTTACTGCATATTATATCTATTCAATCTCCCCCAATTCACGTGGAAAAAAGGCAAGTAGGAAAACACTGAGCTTCAGCCATGTTAAGGCTGATTGAAAAGGTCATAGACAGGCCTACACAGACTCCCCTGTGTGGTTTTACGTTTGCGACGCAAAAGCCTTTAATTAAAGCTTCGCTCTGACGAGTATGTCTTTGAGCGATTTACCTCTTTTGTATGATATAATCGGAGGCGTTTTGTAAATTGTTTTCAGCAGTGGCTGATTTTGGATGAGGTTCCATTCTTGCATCAGTATTTGTTTTAAATTTTTAACCCCTGGGTGGTATGCTGTCACAAAAGGCAATATTTTGCCTGTAGTTTTTTGGTTTGTTTTTTAAGTGTCGACTGCCTTGCGGCAAACGAGACCTCAGTTAACGTTTTTTCAATTAGGCTTTTTGGGTAACCACGTGCTTCAAGTCGTGTTTTGAATTTACACATGGCCTCCTGGAAATTTCTTTCCGAGGAGTTTGTTCTTAGAAGTCTGATAGCTTCTCCTTTAATAAAGCCTTTCTTAACACCTGGTGGGTGGCAAGATGAATAGTGTGTATATTGAAATGTCTCGGTCGGTTTGTAGTGAGTCAACAGAAAAGCCATTGAGATGTTCTTTCAAAAAGTCGATCTCTAAATCTCTTAACATTGTTGGCTTTTGGTCTTCATCCATGGCAAAATCTTCCGGGAAAAGCAAACTACAGTGCGAAAACCAAGTTCGTGCCAAATTTGATTGACATTTTTGACAACCGGAAATCATGATACTTTTTTTTCGTCACGCACGTCACGCAGCTAGCTACAAACCATATATGTAATTATTCTTGGTGCCTTTCCGAATGCCACTGACGCCCTCTCCGAAGCCTCCATTGTTTATTAAAGCAGTAAAAGATATGAGTTCAATCAACACTTTTAAAAAATTGCTTAAACTGTGAAGTAAACTGTTAACATTTCGGCTTTACAACACGATTGTCTCTGGATCAACAAATTATATGTCTCTATATGAATTATACTAGTTATAGTTCTCACTAGAGCTGCCCCCGCCCTACAGTACCATTTTCTTTTGTTTGTTTGTTTTTTTTTAGTTGGGCTTGTTGTTTACAGTTGCGTAATTTTTCTGTTATGTTGTTAGGGAATTGCGGCTCAGTTCTTTGGTTTTAGAAATTTTGGATCTCAAAATACTAAAAGTGTACAAAATGTAGCTTTGGGAAGTGCTTGGAATGTTTTTTTCTCTTGCTGTGTGGTTTAACTTTGGATTTGTTTGTTCTTCACGATCAAGAAGAAGCAGAATGTAGGGACTTGGGTCAGTTTTAACATTGGAATGTTATAGGTGGCATTGTAGAACAATTCATAAACAGCATTGAAGAACAGTTTATTATTATATTTAAACCTGACATTTTGCACATAATAGACTAGTTATTAGACACAACATTATACCTTAAGAGGGCAAAGACGCCGATCCTAAAAGTCCTCGCGCGCGTGTCTTTTTGCTGGCCGCCCATGACCATTTGCGGGAAAAACGTTGATACCTTGCGGCCGTGCAAGCGATCAAATCGAGATTTTTTCTGGTTATGATCTACCGAAAATACCCACATTCTCTCTTCTCCAGTCTTCCTCTATATTACGCGGGGAGTCCTAAGGTGCCTCCTCGGGTTTTTGGCCCTCTGGGGCCAAAAACCCTGCGGGGGCAAAAAGCTGTTTCACCGCTGACCACTCATATTTGGGTCGTTTTTTCTATCCCCGCTCGTCGCCCGTGATGTAGTAACTCCCGATTTTTGCAAAGACGCGAATTTGATCCAGTAGTAAACTAACAAATCGTTCTAGACAGGGGGAGGTGTGGGTAAAATTATGACTAGATCACAGACGAGATTCAAAATGTGGTAAGACCGAAAAAGTGGCACAAGAAGCGCGGTCGAGTGTGTCACTGATGTTCTTACGATATTTTGGTCCTTTGGTCTATTATTTACTGAAAAGACTCACGGCAATATGGAATCTTTTAGGAATATAGATAACGGAGTAACCGTTGAAAGCCGTATAGTACCCTCCCCCACATCCCTAGTATATTTAATTCAAATCAAAACGAGGCTGTCAAAAAAATATTAGCGCGCGAAGTTTGGGTACCATAACACAAAGTCATGATAGACTGAGAGTCTGCAAAATAGCAGATCTAGCCATGGAAAATCTTCTCATCGACGAGTTCCTTGCAAGCAGAAGCCCCAGTATTCGTGACTTTAATCAGGTTACATCAACGCAGATGCCCCACGGCGAATCTGCGGCTACAGATAAGCCAGTGTTTTTCCCGTTTCCTTTCCCGCCATATGACATACAGGAGGATTTTATGAAAACTTTGTATGACGTGCTTGAGAATGGAGAAGTTGGAATTTTCGAAAGTCCCACAGGAACGGTGAGTGAAAGATGGATATCGGAATAGATGAACTACTTTGAGCTAAGATCAGAGCCGGTTTTGAAATGATATGTCGCTCAAGGGAGCGTGTTATTTGATTATGACTAACCCTTTCACCCAAGATCTGATGAGTAATTCTCCTTACTGTTTGCCATCTACTTAACCTGGAATCTACTGGTTAACCCTTTAATCCTTGAGAGTGACCAGCATCTAATTTCTCCCTTAAATAACACCCATGAATCAAATATCAATATCATGAGAATAACAGAAATAATAATTAACTGAAGAACCTATTGATTTTAAGCAAATTCTCCTTGTCAGTACATCTGGAAATGTATAGAGAGCAGTATAGAGAATATACATACTGATGTTAGGGTGTAAATGGTTGAATTGAGCTAAAAAATTACCATATTTTACACTCATAGGGGAAATCTTTGAGCTTGATTTGTGGAGCTCTTACTTGGCTAAAAAGTTATGAAGAGAAGAAACAGGAAGAACTAGACAAGGCTTTATCATGTTCAAAACAAGTTACCACTCTCAGGTAATGATCTTTATGAAACAAAAATTGTTTGGTTTAACTTCTGAAGAATCTGTCCGTTACATCTCTTTTTTTTTCACAAATTTGCCATTTTTCAGGGACAATGTCATTGATGAAGACAAAGGAAAAAGATTTAATAGTGCAGATGATTGTAAGTGCAAAAAGCAATCTTGATCAGGTGTTGATTTTCTCTTCTTCACTATGTGGTTGATCTATAAAGCTTGCAAACTTTATAGACCAACCAAACAATCAATCAAAATTAAAACCAATTTTGAATTGGTCAGTCATTTATCCCAGGCTCTGAGCAGTTTGTTTTCTTTTTCTTTGAATTCTAATGGGTTGCTTAATGTGATATTTCCCTCAGTTTGCTCTGATTACCTGCTTTGATCACTATTATTGGTTTTAATGGCATGATACTTACTACTAAAAATGTGCCCCAATTAAAAAATGTGCTTGCTAGAAAAAAGAGTTTGGAAATCTGTTTTAATAGACATAGTAAGATAAATTTATCTAAGAATATTTTGGATAGCCAGACATGCCACTGCTATGTAGAATTATTCTCACCCAAAGGATGTGATAAATTAAAAATAATTTTCTATTTATTTTTTCATTTAAAGCTACAATGCCAGATTGGGTGATGGAATTTGCGGAGAAGCAAGCGACTCAAGAAAAAGAAGATAGAGTAAAGGTACTTTTGATTTGTTCAAATTGAATTCATTAAATAACTATTTAACTTGTAATAAATAAATAAGTGTGTTATATGTATTAATGTATTAAAAGAAGTTAACATAACTCTTGCTATTTTACTCAAATTTATAGGAGGAAAGAGAGAGGTTGGAAAAACAAAGAGCACAGCTTCAGAAACTCAAGAGTGAACTTAAACCAGCATGTGCATTTAAAACTGGAAAGAGAAAGGTCTGTTTGCTTTGAAGGGGTTACATTCATGAAAGAGTTATTCAGCAACAAATTCTGAAAGTTTGAAGTTCAATTTTCCATACTTAAATATTTTATTGATTGGAGCTTGTTGTCTAATTTTATTTCTTAGCATAGTGATGGTGAAGTCAATAATTTTGGACACAGTGGCTCTGAAATAGAGAACGAAATTGCCAGTGAAATTGATGAAGTCCTTGGGAAAACCTTACAAGAGGATCCTGATACAGATATTGTACTAACAGAATATCAGAGTGATGGAGATGAGCCTGGGTAAGATTGACACCAGAAGTGCCCTATTTATTATGCCACTAATAATTCATTTTTAGAATAGTCCATTTTACAGTTGCATGCTTGGTTGCCAAGCCTTTGAATGGGAGTGTGGCTAAGGATAACCTTGTTATGATACAAACCTTGCTGCTTTTCAAAATAAATGTAAAATACTCTGTTATCATGCTAACTAAATACTGGTCTCTATCACAACCAGGTCACCTTCAGCCTCACTGTAAATCATAGTCTTGGCAACTAAGTACACAACTGTAAAATGGCCAATTATGGTGAAACAATCACATTTACATCATTGTTAATTGGGTCTGTTGTTAATTTTCTTACCTGTTGACGGCAAGGGTAAGAGTTTGGAAAAGTGACATGTAATGGATTTAATTTTTATTTTTACAGATCAGATCAGGAAGATGAAGATAACAATGAAGAGCCCCACTGTTTAAAGGTACTGCATGAGAAATAATCAACAGACTGAATGGATTACACTCTAATTTCAGTATGCATATTCTCCATACTATTCTTTATATATTTCCTAAGGTGCTAGGAAGGAGAATTTGTTAAACAAATCAAGTTCTTTTTAGTTGGTGATGATTTCCTTAATGACTTATTGGGTGATTCAGGGGTGATATTGTATGAAGAAATTAGATGCTAGTCACTGGTAAGGGTAAAGTGTTAAAAACTGTTTTCAATTAATGATGATAAATCTAAATTTCCCTTTAATTGTTTTAATTTTTTTTCAGATATTTTATTGCAGTAGAACACACTCCCAATTGACACAATTTGTTAGGGAAGTGCAAAAGAGTCCATTCAGTGACAGTACACGGGTTGTATCTCTTGGATCCCGACAGAATCTTTGCATTAATGAAGATGTTAAAAGCCTTAAAAATATAAACAGAATTAATGATAGGTGTTTGGAACTTCAAAAGAAAAACAAAGGTAAGTCTGTAGAGGGAAATAGGGGACTTTTGGTCTTGATTGTTTGCAGCCTAAATTTTAAGTGACAAGTTTTTTTTCTATTCAAAAATGATCTTTCCTGGCAAGGAATTAAAAGCAAAAGAAACAAAATAAGGATTCAGGGGAAGTGCTCTCCTCAAAGTTGTAGTGATGGACTTCAAATTGAAAAGACCATACTTGCAATTTGGCAGGGTCATTGAGTTGTGTTCCAGGGCAAGATATTTAACTCTTTTACTCCCAAGATCTGTCTGTCATGCACTTATTATGATGTTAGTTCTGAGAATTTGGTATGGGATCAACTAATAATACCCTAATTGATTTCTGCTTTTTGTTATTCTTGTCGCCTGTCTGTCTGATATTGACTACTAAGTTGAAATGGCAAGGAAAAGGTCTGTCCTAGTTGGTCACTCATGGGAATTATCTTTTGCAATGTATCTCTTCATCAATGATTATAAATGGATTCTAACCCATTGTGTGGGAAACCTGACCTAAAGCAGGAGACTGCATGAGCTAATAGTTATACCAGTCCTGTATTTTCTAACTACAAGTAGTTATTTGTCATGTTTACAGAAAAGGTGTATGTTCAGAATAAAACTTGAAGAGAACTTTTAAAAAAAATTTTTTTTTTAACAGAGAAGAAAAAAGCTGATGGAGAGAAAACTTCAAAGAAGAAAAAAGTTACAAATGGATGTCCATTCTACATGTACCAGCAGCTGCAGAAATTTAGGGACCATCTCTTGGTGAGGTCTTTGCTTAATTGCAAATAATAAACTCTTGGGAGAAAATTTCTAATTAGTTTTTCCAGCTGTTAATGGTACAATGTACTTTTCAAATAGTTAACCCTTTAATAATCCCTATGAGTGACAAGCATGTAATTTCTTCCCACAGTAATACTGCTGAATCATTCATGAAGTTTTTGAGAATAAGAGAAATGGTTGCCAACCTAACAAAACTTTTGATTGCTAAACTAATTCTCCTTTTCAGTACCAAAGGAATTGTCTAGGGAGGATTATAGAGAATATGGATACTGATGTTAGGGTGTAAAGGGTTAATAAAGTCGAATGAAGGGAAAGAATGAGCACTGAGGCTCTACACTTGTAAACAGAATTATTGGCCTGCAAGGATGCTTTTTCCTATTGCACCCATTTCACTTTAAAAAAATCATCTTGAATAGGTTTAAGAACATGTTTCAAACTGTGGACAAAATTTCTTCCTTTCTTAGGTGGACATAAAAGATATTGAGCAGCTTGTTTCTGTCGGCGAAGAACTTCATGCATGTCCTTATTATGGGACGAGATTAGCTATTCCTGCTGCGCAGGTAATAGTAAGATTTTAGAAAGTGATCTGAGATTGCTTTAGTTTTGCTGTATATCTCTGTGTTATTGGTCCAGAAAATTAAACTCACCTATCATCACTTCACGGCTCTATTTCAAACCAACATAATGACCAACTCCCACTTGGCTTGTTAGCTCAGTTAGTAAAGCACTGCACCAGTATTGCTGAGGTCATGGGTTCAAATCCTGTGCAGGTCTTAATTTTTTTCAGGCCTTATTTTCGCCACTCCTTAAGGAGTGTTCATTACTGCGAAGACCGCTTTCATATTAATTTAATGTATTCTTGTCTACAAATAATTCATTCTGCCTAATTTTCTTTCCTACTCTAGCTTGTAGTTCTACCATATAATATCCTTCTTCACAAGTCAACAAGGGAAGCCTGTGGGATAAAGCTTGATGGAAACGTGGTTATTGTTGATGAAGCACATAATTTGATTGACACAATAAGTAATGTACACAGTGTAGAAATCACTGGTTCACAGGTATGATGAACTGACCAAACCCCTTCACTCCCAGGATCTGATTGTTAATTCTCCCCTCTAGCTGCTACACTGTGACATTTCCTTGTAAATTGGTTGCAAGAATTTGATGTTAGATCAAGATAACAACTTCTACCTGATAAGTTTGATTATTCTCCTTACCTGTTTGTCAGATAATGTATGAATATTATAGGGAGAAATAAAATGTTCATCACTCCCAGGAGTTAAAGAATTAAAAGCAAATCAATACCAGTTGTATTTCTTATAAAAAATGAATAATTTTATTGAACATTTTACACAAGATAACATGTTTGTTATACTTTAAACTAAATTTCACCAATAAGCAGTACTCTTACTGAGTTAAAGAAAACAATCTTAGAGAAGAATTGGCATAGTCAATTATTATTATAATTTATAATATAATTATAAATTAATAATAATTAATAAATAATATAAAATATAAATAAATAAATAAATATATTGGCATAGCTCTAATCATATTCAATACACTCCTTATTGTTTTGTATCATGTTACAGATTTTGTGCACTCACTCTCAGTTGACCCAGTACCAGGATCACTATAGGTCAGTGAAACATTTTGAAAACTGATTTAGGTAACAAGCTTAGAAATTCTTACTGACTTCAAAGATAAGCTGGAGAAGAATGGATAGGGAAAAAATATTTTAAACTGTTAATTCCCGCACATTTTTTGTACTTTTGGTTAATTTAACTTTTCCCTAAATATCCCCTTTTAATTGCAAATTTTTTAACTAGGTCAAGGTTAAAGGCAAAGAACTTGTTCTATATTCAGCAACTACTGTATGTCTTGATGTGTTTCCTAAACTGTTTGGGAGGTAAGTTTTATCGTGGAATTCACAGCATGGCAGGTTTTTCAGTTTAAAACAATACCAAATTCTCTGAACTAACATCATTAATTGTATAGTAGACAGTAAAGAGGTTTGTCAATGGGATCTTTGGAGAGAAATGATTAATTTATGGAAATACCTCATACAGACAACTTGAATTAGAAGAGAACTAGAAATCATCATGACAGGAAAAATGACATCCGTATGCTATGTTCAAACTTGAGATCCTCTCTTTAGACCTGGTGATCATTGTAATATCTTTCATATGTGATATCTGTTAATAGGCTGATGAAGAGACTATGACTCCAAAAGAGAGCTTGCCAAGGTATCCTCAACATTGACAATTTTCAAATTTCTTGCAGGGAAAGAGCAAAGGAAACCAGAATCATTGTCTAGTGCTAATGAATTGGGTACAAAAGACCACAGAAAGCAAGGTTCTTAATTTTAGAGTGATGGTTGTTATGTTTTAGGAATGTTTTTCAATTTTTCTTCACCTTAGACAGGAAGCTTGTCCCTTGTGAGTTCTCTCCCCAGGGGTTGCCATGAAGTATTGCCTAATCTGTCTTAGCCTGCAGAGCAGGTGTAATTTTATGGAAAGAGTGCTCAGTATTTTCATGGTGAAAATCATAGCTGCCATCACTGGCATCTTTGATTTTTACAGAAGAGGAAGACTGGGATGAGAGATAAATTTGTACCAGGGGGGTGAGTGAGGGTCAAAAGGAAGACAAGAGGAGGGGGTGGGTCCCCGACTGTCCACTACAACTTTAAATTGGAATTGGGGGGTCAAATAAATGATTGTGAGCTTGCACTGTCAATGAACTTGCCCTAAAAAGATGAATGAACTGCAGGCTACATCATTCTGTCTCTATATTGGACCCTCTCCTTACATTGGGCCAAGGATGTCCCTCATTGTGCCTTAAGCCATCTATTCATCTTGTACAAAAGCTTTCTTTCTTTTTTTCCCTTTCAAAATATCCTTGCAAATATGGGTTTGATGAGCCATGATATTTAATTTTACATGGAATGTAAGACCTTTCTTCAAGGTTATCATTATAATTATTACAATCATTACCTGTAGTATTTTGTTGTGATGAAATTATTATGAATCTTTATTTCTGTTATCTTCTTGTCCTAATTAACAGATGTGAAGCTATTAACAATCAATGATTTCCTTTTCGCTGCCCAAATGGATAATGTGAACCTTTTTAAGGTATGGTACACATAACTTATTAAAAGTATAGCTACTTTCTTAGTTTGTTAGATTAGGCCAGTTATGTCTTTGCTGGGGAGCATATGGCATCGACTGTGAACCTCCTCTGGATTCTATTTTTGGCACCTCTCTTTTGCCTCCCTGAGATGATGTTCTGTTTCGTGAGTTCCTCTTGCACACTTTGCCTCCTGGACTGCTTTGGCCCTATGTGCCTTCTTCTAGAACCTTGAGAGTTCTATTTGAGAGTGGTACATGTGATATTTTTCTCAGGCTTCTGGAGCACAGGTCCAATCCATTTCCTTAAACTCGTATGCTATAGGGTGTATTTATTCAGTTCAGGATGATCTCATTCTTAGCCTAACACAATACTCGAATTAATACTCCTTTCAGATTAAAAGATACTGTGAGAAGAGCATGATTTCTAAAAAGGTAAGTTCTAAAATAATTCCTCTTTAGATATTTCACAATCTTATATGTGACCTTCCAGAATCAAGGTTTGACATGGATAATTTACTCAACTTTGTTTTTTTTAAGCTGAATGGATTTGTTGACAAGTATCATTCTGTACAAGTGGGAACAGGTTAGCGCACAATCATGCTGTTGTAGAATGAAGAAATATACTTTGAGTGGTATAAATATGGAGAGAACAATGAGTTGAAAAAGGGTAAAATTTTGTTTATCTCTGAAAGAAAATCAGATTACAGTACAACAGTTTTTCTGCAAGTTCATCTGTGGAGCTAATAAATGTTTAGACCCCTCTGCTAAACAAAGAAGATTTGTGTAGTACTCTCACTTTGAACACTTTCTTCTTAATATAGTTACTTCTCTAATAGAGTTTGATATGTAGTTTGATTGCAGTGTTTTCCTTTTAAGATGGTAACTGCTAAGATTTACAGCCTCCAGCACCTCTTATTATTGCCTGAAATCATTTAGAATTTTTGAAAATTCAACAGGTGAAAGGATTGCCCTGACTACTGCTTTAATATTTCTTTTACTTAAATAAGGGAATACATTATTGTGGAAAATTTACCCTACAATTTAATTGTATCATGATTTAATAGGATTTACTGCAGGAGATGAAGATGGATTGTATCAAAGCAGTAATTCACCTCTTCAAATCATTGAGAGCTTTTTGGAAGCACTCACAAATGCTGACAAAGATGGAAGGATTGTTGTTAACAAGCAGGGTAAGATTCTTTTTCTTTGCTCAGTATCAGACACCAAGTTGTTCTGGTTTTCTGCTTCGATTCAGCCTGATTTGAAGGGAAGCAAACATTTTCAAGTAATCCCCTAGGGCAAAGGGTTCCCTATTTTTTTCATTCCAGGGGTAATAAACCAGCACTCTCTCCTTACAATTTCAATACTTTATGCAGGAAGTGGATTGTGGGAAAATGTAGACAAACACATGAGCTGGGGATTGCGGTAGTGACCTTGATCAAATACCAAATTCTCTTGGCTAGCTTACAAGAAAAAATATAACAGCTTCACAGGAGAATTTCTTGTTAGATCATAGGATTTCAAATGTTAAGGGTACTTTGTGACAGCTTTCAATGTGACTGAAGACAATAGTGATTGTTATTCTACTGTTTAAGTGTACTTTACTTACCTAGATTGCCTGCGCACTTTATATTTTCTCCCACCAGAGCGACCTAGTAACTCCAGTCTGAAGTTTCTCCTTTTGAACCCTGCAGTCCACTTCACAACTATCGTCAAAGAAGCCAGAGCAGTTGTTGTTGCAGGGGGAACAATGCAACCGGTAATTAACTGTGGTATCCTTGCTGTGCCTTTTTGATCTTAAGAGTGACTAGTACCTAATTTCTCCTTACCGTATCACCCCAGAATCACACAATAAGGTTACAAGAATAAAGGAAATGATCACCAAGTAAAAATGCTCTTGGTTGGTAAACAAAATTCTCATTGTAAATACCTTAGGAAATGTATAGAGAACAGTACGAAGAATATAGATACTGATGATAGGGTGTGAAGAGTTTACCAAGTCACCCCCCTAAATCACTATATCTATTCTATTCTATTCCATACAGTACTAATAGTTTAATCTCTGACAATTTGTGTTAAAACAAATTATATCTCATAATTGATGTTTTTTTTATGTTATTATCATCTTCCTGCTTCAAAAAATATTGTTATGGTAAGAGAAATTTTTCTTTTTGGTCATTCAGAGGGTCAACATGATCATTACCAGGTTTAGATTCCTGCATGCTGTTGGACTATATTTCCAATTAACTGTAAAATCAATATCTGAAATTTTCTTCAGTTTGAAAAAGGAAAAAGATCAAAATTTAGGTTGGTTGATGAACTCAGTGGAAGTTAGTTACATGTGAAACTGCCCCTCAGTTCTACTTATTTCAACTGAAGTAGCCAGCTCCCTGATATTCTTTCTAGGTTACAACGGAGACAAAACTTTTTTATATCACTTATTTGTCAATGACGAAATTGTAATTTAACAAGGCATAATATCTGTCTTATTCGTCGTAGATGTCAGATTTTAAAGATCAACTCTTTACTTGCGCTGGACTCTCCGGTGACAATATAGTGGAATTTTCCTGTGGTAAGTCAATTGAATTTTCCTTAGAATACGACATTGTGCCTTTTGGTATTGAAGCAAAGCTGTAACATTTATTATGGACAAACAGCATTCTCTTTTTATCTTCTCAGGGCATGTTATTCCAGCAGATCATTTGCTCACTGTAGCGTTGGATAAAGGACCCTCTGGAAAAGACCTTGATTTTACTTACCAGTCGAGAGACTCAGAAAAATTGGTAGGCGCTGCGGTGATGCAAATCACTGAATTTTTGCCATGAAATCGGCGATATTTAAATTATTTTCTATATTATCATGGAGAGAAACAGCTACAAGTTTAAGAAAAAAGGTATATTCTAAAATATTAAATTCGAGTTGTTGTTGTTTCGATGTTATTTCGAAGATTTTCGTAAGAATTAAGCTAAGTGAGTCCGCCATTTTGTATTTACGCTTACCGGAAGTATAATGCTGATTTTGACTTCCGGTCTTTCAAAGCGTGGCTGTCCACCAGTCAGTAGTTAAATTTTCACTCTCAATAATCAGCTGGGCGTAGTGGCGCACGTCTGTAATCTAGCTACTTGGAGGCTGGGGTCGCTGAATGGCTTGAGGGCGGGATTCCTGGGGGTAGTCGTTCTATGTAGATCGGGTGTCCGCGCTAAGTTTGGCGTCAATATGGTGAACATAGAGGAATCTGAATTCTCCAGGTTGGTTAAAGAGGAGCGAACCGGCCCAGGGTGGAAACACAGCAGGCAAAAGCTCCCGCGTCAAACAGTAGTGGGATAGCACCTGTGAATAGGCGGTTGCTCACAGCCCGACCAAGATAGTCGAACTCGACTCTGAAATTCTTTTTTTTTTTTTTTTTTTTTTTTTAATTTCTGTTTTTGTTTTTTTTTTTTTTTTTCGCATTTTTCGCTTGGGTTATTACATGTAGTACTCTTTCTTTTTTACTGTCAAGAAAAAATATATTTTTATAGGGCTGTTAAAAAAAAATAATGATAAAAAAAATTAAGTTTATTTTTCGTTTGGTTACATTTTTCTTTTTTTTTTTTTTTTTTTTGATCATTTCCTGGAGCTGACAAACTGTCAAACAAAACTAATGGGACTTTTTTTTGTCGGTTTCCTTTAGAAAGAAGAACTGGGACGACTCCTGCTCAATATTTTTGCCGTTGTCCCCGGAGGAGTGGTGTGTTTTTTCTCTTCGTATGATTATGGAGAGAAAGTCTGCAAATACTGGCAGGAATCGGGCATTCTTGAGAAAATGAACACCCGAAAGAAGGTGGTTTAAGGATTTCCTATCGTTTTTTTGTGATCTTTTTATTTCTTACTTTCGTTCTTTTTTTATTTCTTCTTCTTTTTTTATACCCAAACATTTAAAAGGATTTCTTCATATATCTCAGGTCTTTAGAGAACCACGCAAGTCTAGTCAGCTTGATCAGGTTCTTTCGTCGTACGCAGCTTGTATCAAGGTTAGCACTTGAAGTAACAAGTAGAATCAAGACGAATAAACTCCTTTTTTTTCTAGGAATATTTTATAATATCAGTAAGTGTTGCTCCCCCCCTCCGGAAACAAAGTATTCTCCCTGTTGTCGGATAGAATCGGACAAATCTTGCGCTCGAAAAAATTCCTCACCTCTGGGTAAACTCAAGCGAGTGGCAGGGTCCTCATTATAAGCACTTGGACATGAGTATTCACTAGAAGAAAAGTAAGATGCTATGAGCAACGTAAGCCGTTGAGAGGTCTTTAATGCTTTTAGACTTAATTCTTCTCGAGACGATATGGAAAAATGGACTATTTTTTTCCTGAAAAATGCCCCCGAAGATTTCCCTAGATTTCTTCTGATTCCATGGAATTTTACGATGGAAACTAAAAAGCCCCGTTCTTTGTATCTAGGCGTAATGAAAACCTGGAGGAATACTAAAATCATCTTTATCTTTTTTCATTCATAGAAGCCAGCCGTAGTCGCCAACAACACATCTCCAAATGGCGCGGTGTTGTTCTGTGTGGTCGGAGGAAAGATGAGTGAAGGGATCAACTTTTCTGACGATCTTGGAAGGCATGTTTCTAATTATTTATCCGTTACTTGAGAACAGGAACCGTATTTTAGAGTACCATAACTAATCTTTTTTTTTGGTTCCTTGTCGTCTTACGAGTGTGAATGAAAAGAAGACGCACGGTGTAGTGAGGCCAGGAAGGATTAGCTTTTCTGACGAGGCCGAGACACGCCCTGTCCAATCGCATCTACCCCAATCCCTTCATGTCCAAAGTCATCGCTCCATATCGCATAGATAAATCTCGCTCTCCCTCAAGAGAAAAAAAAAGACTGCTTGCGGTTTGACCGTAATTTGGCGAGATAAAGAAACACGGAGGCCTGGCGGTTTGCGCGTGGGAATTCTGATAAAGAGAGTTTTGGGCCTATTTTGTTGATCCTACGCGCCGCCTTAAAACACTCGCGCCAACTTCGACGCCTGCTCCAAAAGTGATTTATAGTATCGATCGATCTTCTCGAGCTTAAAAAGGACAATGTGCGACATGCCTGAACGCGAAATCCAGGAAGATTGGGTCGAACGTGGGAGGTCAAAGCTCGCTGGTACTTTAAAAAAAAATGGATTGAAGAAGGAACAGAAAACTCCCATGAGAAATTGCTTTAACTTTTGCGACGATACCATGAGAAAACGAACTGACGTGATTATGATCTTTGGCTGAAAACAAGACTAGCTTTATATCTTTACAATGCCAATTGTAAAGTCGACCTGGAAGTTCCTATCTCCCTTACTTGAACCAGCCTTTATGCCTCGTGTCCAATCATCGAACATGTCCTGTTTCACAATCACACGATCTTAATCTGGGTGTACATTGGGGCACCTTTTATTGGCGGGGGTGGTCGGGTAGGCATGAATCAAACTATTTTCGAAACATTGCTGTCTTTGTACATTAGGTGTGTGGTCATGGTGGGACTGCCTTATCCAAATATCTACTCACCTGAATTAAAGGAGAAAATGACATATCTTGATGCAACTTTAGGGGTAAGAGTTCATCTGTAAAGACCTTCAGGCTGTTTTTCAGTGGCGACGGAGTGGTATTCGGACTCCCGATTTAATGAAAATTCTTGAAAATCCGACGCGTGAGTGGAATCATAAGCTTTACGGAAGTGGAGTGGAAAGAATCAATACAGTTCCATTTTCTTCCGGTTTTGCTCATGACTCATACGCCAATGAACTTGTCTTAATTATGTAATGAGTTGAATGACGCACAATTTAGTTTTCACAGATCACAAGCGACGGAGTGTACTCTGCTTCCGGATTCCATTGGTTTGATTTTCACCGAATCGTATTGCTCTGCGCTTCCGATAACGGCTGTCACTCCAACTCAGACGTTAATGGAGAGCAGCTTTCGATGTTTTCTGACGGTTTTCTCTGTGCGTCCAATAAATTCCCGTCCATTTTTTTTTGCGGTGCGCTACGCGGCGTCTTCTTGATGACGTAACTCGCTATTCGCTATTCCCTTTGTTGACCGTTACTTAACCGCATACAACAAATCAAATCAGAGCTCAAAGTCCTTCTCCATTTACCTCAATTTCCTTTTTTTCTCAGGGTAGTTCAATATCTCTGTTGTTTACCATTATCATTTTTGGTCTCTGTTTGCTTTTTCTTAGCCAAAAGCTGGTCAAATGCATTACGAAAGCCTTTGCATGAAAGCGGTAAATCAGTCAATAGGTGAGGCAAAACTTTATTATCTGTTAACAAACCTGAGCTTTGCCTTGTTACAATGAAACACAAACAAAATTCATCAAGAGTCCGTCCGACGTATCTGAGAATGTATCTTTGTTCAAAATCCGTCTTTAGGTCGCGCTATTCGTCACAAACGAGACTATGCGACAATCCTGTTACTTGATCAGCGGTATGGTTCTACAAGAATACAGAAAAGTCTTCCAGGCTGGATTTCAAACCGACTTCAGCACCAGCCTCGCTTTGGTTCTGCATTTTCCGCCATTCGCAAGGTAAGCTATTGATCCGTGGGTGAAAGGTGATTGTATCTTGTTACCAGTCTCTAATCAAAGTTCCAACCTCGTTCCGAAGATCGCTCGTTTTCCCAGCGTATCAATGCGTATGGCTGAGGATTTCTCCAAGAATGACCCTAAGATAAATTGGAAATAGAAGCTTTCAATCTCAATTGCCCAATAAGGTCATTATTTGATTCCAGAGAACCTTTTTTGTGTAGCTTTTACTTGTTAAAACAAATCGTCATGTGTTGAGGGAAAAAAGGGGAAATATTTTGGTACATCCTAAGTAAGCGGCAAGGTTGCTAAGCGGATTCAAAATGACGGGGCCCCTAGTCGAATTTTTACCACCTTTTAAGACAAGCTGCTAAGGGTCAGGGTAGTCTATGGAATCTCAAAGGGCGGTCAGTGTTCTAATTTCGATGTAATTCACCATCACACTTTTTAAAGGTGAGACAGGAATGATGTGGTTCCTGTAGCTTACATCCCTTTGAAAAGAGGCACGTCGCGGCATTCAGCTTGAAGTTGAATGCCGGTTCAATAATGAACCGAGAAAAGGACGGTGAAACGTTGAGGATGATCTCGATGTATCGCGAGAGGGGAATTGAAAGATTTAGGCCACAAACTTTGCAGCTGGTAGTTATTTAATTCAGCAGCTCTGTTTACTCCTTTTCGCTTCTTTCAGTTTTTCGTGGACAAGCGACAAGCGGATGAGACCATAAATCACGAAGCACAATGAATGCTTGGTTGGAACAGATGACCTCGTGAAACCTGAAATGACCTGATTAGCCACAAAAATCAAAGCGAAAAAAAACACATGCTCATTTCATAGATTGCTTCAATGAAGTGCACGGTTTCAAGATTATTTATTTATGTGTTTGACGAATAAATCAAGAAAAATATTTTCATAAGAACAGGGACATTGAAAACCCCTAGTTGAGTTTGCTGTGTTCGAAGAAATTTCGGTCTATATTGTCAGAGCCATCACATTGAGTTTTATAGGAAAAATATCCTAAATAAAGAGTTGACATCAGAAAGAAAGCATTCCAGATGGTCCTTACCTACAGTACCTTCCTTGAAAACGTCTGTGTACAACAAAACGAATCGTGATTTTTGAACCTTCAAGGCCTCTTTTTGTTTCATTATTAAGTTGGTTTTGTGTCCTTAGCTAATTAGAAAGCGTTACGGGTCCGTCTCCTTGACTAACTGCCATTCGCCCAGTTTGCTTGTTTATACTTTCGATTCTCTGTTGCTGCAGAGCGCTTTCCGATTGAGTGTCGTGTAACCACAACCAACGTGATTACTATGGTTAATCAGAAGAAGGGAAAATTACCTTTAAAAAGAGCCAATTAGAACTCAAAGGAAAAACAAGCAAACCGCCTAAAGCGCGGGAAAACGCGGGCGACCAAGTCGTGATCAGTATTAGTTTTGCATATGATTGGTTGGGAGAGTAGCGCGAGTTTTCTGGACCAATCACAGAGAAAAGTAAAGCAAAACCAATGCATTCCCAGAATTATATCGACACTCAATTGAAAATTTCTCTAGGTTCTGATTTGGTATTTTGGCTTTGTTTGCCATACTAGATCAAAATGTGTTACTAACATATTTACTCTTGAAATCGTGGAGAGTCGTGAGTAATTTGTAAATTTCACAAACTGTCGTTGGAGATCTGCGAGAAGAGAACTGGTGTTCCTTGGCAACTGTTTTCACGACAGGATTTTGATCCTGAGTAGGATGGAAACGGAGACATTTGAAGTGGGGTCAATGATTTCCTTAACAACTTGGAGTGACTACAAATGGTGTAAGGTGTTGAATGGAAACTGGTAGCCACCGAATCCGTGTCAAACTCGTTTCCAGTATCAGCTTGCCCAGGGTTTGGCAGGGAGACAGCCTCGGTTCCTTGAGCCGAACTTAGACACGAGGCTCCTTGGCCAGTGCGACGCAAAGGTGAAGAAGCAGGTGAGATAAAAGAACTGTCAGAACTTGAGAACAGAGACATGGAATTCAGCTCGTGTATACTGCATGAGTCAGTGCAATCCCTGAAACTTCCTTCGGATGAAAACGAGTTAGGCGCAATGTTGTGGTGCGCGCACCGAGAATGGAATTTGACGTTTCGCCGTCTTGGTCTTGTGAAAAGATCTGGGGTTCCAGATGCACGCTCTGAGGAACAGAGCGACTGAGTAAATAAATCAGGAGTCATAGATGCGTTGGACAAAATGTCACAACTATCATTTAACACCGACATATCACTGTAACTACAATGCTCAATAGATGTACACTTTTCGTCGTTGGTTTGGTTGGCTCTTGAGTCGCCCACGGCATTACAGTCTTGTGCTTTATTCTTATAATGAAACCTTTTGAGTGTGGTGCAATTGATGTCATATTCACCAATTTCTCCAGCGTTGGTTCGGTTTTCATCTCGTCCTCCGTTCGGGATTAAACTTTTAGGCCAAAGACAAACAGCTTTGCTTTCAACTCTGATGCTCTCAGTATTGTTATCTCCCGTCACCTCGGCGAAAACAGTCTCACAGTCTCGCAAAAATTGCGAATCAGAGCCTTCAGAGTTGTAAGTGATGTCATTCCAGGGCGAATAATTCGCCCTAGACGATACTATAGCATCTCTTTGCGCGGTAGATACCATGGTTATATTCGGTGTTAAAGGTTTCCGTATCAGCATACTTCCGTGATCGAGCTCCATATCAGCCAAAAATACTTCCAAATCCTCAGAGGAAGGGAAATCAGTGAATTCTGTGTAATCTCTTGTGCGTGAAGAGTCAGGCAAGTAACACTCGTTTACAACTTCTCCAAACGTTGCATCTGGATACAAGGATTGTAAAGGACTTTCGGGTTTCCCGGAGTTGAGGGCCTGCAGTGGCTGTCTATCGTCTCCATTGAAAGCGTCCTTTTCCAAATCGGCTAAAAATGCGCTCAGATCCTCCGATGACGGAAAGTCATCATATTCCTGCCATGTCACCGAAAGATGGAGATCAGTTAAGTCTTCATCACCGTTTGAGTTAAGTTTTAATGATTGCACAATTCCTGGTGTAAATGGCTGTTTGTAAATCTGATCAGAAGTGTGCCGCCTTTTTTCGTTGCTGTTGTCGTTTGCAGTTAAAGATGAACCAATTCTTCCTGAAAACGGTGAGAGAAAAATAATTTTTTTGCCATCGTCAAAATGAAAGATTCATGTGGACGACGCGTTTGTTGTTAACGGGTCACCGTCATTGGACTAACATCATCAGTATGCATATTGTCTATACTGTTCTCTATACATTCCTAGGGTGCTAACTAGGAGAATTTGGTTAATAATCAAGAGCTTCAATCTTAGTGTTAATTTCCCTTGACCTTAATATTTGATTCAGGGGTGATATTGTAAGGAGATATTAAATGTTATGGTACTCATTTGTAGGCCTCTTTACCTAACAGGGGTCGCTGTAATTTCCTTCTCTCCTCGCTGTTGGTTGCAAGCTCACGGTCATGTGTTGGAGCACTGCCAGAGGGAGATTGAGAGGCCTGTGAGAACCAGAGGTGTGTTCATGGAGCCAAACTCATGTGGTGAGCAGTAAATAGATGATGCTCTTTTGTGGGATGGAGAGCACCTTGGAACTTTGCAACTTGCCGGAGAGTCCAGCAATAGAGATTGCTGAGGGTTATTGGACTTAATGAGTATGGGGTGTGGGTAATTCTTTGTAACTCATCTAAATACTCATTCAATATTTGCATCACTGTAGGGCTCTGCTCTGACAAGGGTAACACCTGACAGGCTAAAAGGCTAGGAAGTTCCCCTGCTTGGTGTCTGGTATTGTCTGATTTTGGTATCCTACCAACAACATTCTTAAGGTGAACTGGAGAGCTATGAGATATTTGAGAGCCTGTCCGGCAGAGTGGATAGACCCTGAAGCCAAAGTGCAATAGAGACCCCACAAAGCATTGTTCCATGGCTTGGTACACAACACGACTCCATGGGATGGTAGAGGGTACAGCAGATAAACTGGTCACCAGCCTGAAATAGAGAAAACCACTTTCATAAGCAAGGACTAAAGAATATAGCTATGAGCCTATTTTACTACCTGAATAACAGGAATAGTCCTGTAATAAAGTAGTTAAGAGATCTTACATGCCAAAAGTAAATCCCCTGAACTTTCAAGCTTACATACCCACAAATACATTAACTCTTTAACCCTTTGGAGTGACAAGCATCTAATTTCTCCTTTCAATTGAATGAAGGAAGTGATCACTAAATAAAGAAACTCTTGATTGTTACACAAATTCTTCTGTTCTTCACCTTAAGAAATGTATACAGAACATTAAGCATACTGATGTTAGGGTAACAATGAAACTTGAAAACAGGAACCATTTGGAGTTAATTTGCAGGGCTGAGCAGGCCAGGCAAGTCACGATGATCTACTAGAGAACTTGGTGTCAATTTTGGTCTTTTTGGTGCTATATTCAAGTAGCACAGTAACAAGATCTATATATTTCAACTGGGTTGCACCAGTTGTCCAAAGGTGAACCCATGATGATTGGAGTTTGCAAATCATTTAAATACCAATCAATCAGAACTAGGAATTCATGGTTTGCATAACTGACCCCCCAGAACTTGAAGATAAAATGCATTACAAAGTTTACATCCAAACCTCATAAAGCTTGTTGCAGACGTCCCAAAAAACCTGTCCAGACAGCTTCCAAAAACTGTGACCTGCACTAGCTGTGTTCTGTCTGATGCCATCACACTAATCCTGTATCGATATTGAATGCTTTCTACACTGTATATCTCCCTGCATGCTTCACAACAGAATCTAAAAAGGAACAGTAAGCTACCATGATCGCATCAGGAGGGGGGGGGGGGGGAATTAATTAGTCTGAGGACAATGTTGTCACATGTTTAAAGTAGTTCATGCCAAAATAAGTATATTAGTTTATTTTTCATTCCAGGGAAGGAATTAAAAAGTGCAGGTGAACTTGGGAAAGGAGAAGAAATGGCCCTCAAGTATAAACGAGACTACCATAAATAGGCACAACATACCGTACCAGTTGGAAGGTGTATAATTTGAAGCACTACTCGTGTACGTACTGTTGTGCAATCTCATTTCTTCTTGAGGCGATCGTAGCTACGTATCTTACCGGTACTTTATGTAAAGATCGCATGAAATAATTTTTAAAGCGTAATGCAGTACATCATAAGATCAAAAGGTAAAATTTCCGCACAGCCCCATACTATTGTAAAACAAATCTGTTTTCCCAATGGCAATCTACTGTTTTTGTCATTGTTTTCTCTATCCAAGAACTGAATGCATAATGTAGTACGGGGCTGTGCGGAAATTTTACCGATCAAAATAAGTAAAAAAAAGTGTTCAGACGACAACAAACTCACATCATTTCATTCTCTCGAGTGTGGACTTTCTTACGACACCGAGTACAACAAGGATAGCAGAATTTGTCGCGTATGGAGAGGACATTTGCCAGAACAAACACACTTTGTGTTGCCATTAACACCACCACTGATATAACTTTCGAATTTCCATCGTAAACTTACTGTTTACCTCTTAATTCAAATTCAGAAAATCTAAAATGGCGCCCATTTACAATAATCCAATCAGAGCATACGTAGGTCCCAGTCTATAAAGATTCACCACGTCCAGATTATCCAACCGGCCTCCTTTGACATCGGAATCTCATGCTCAAATTATTTTTCCAATAAATCAAATATATGTATGTCCGTCGCTCAGAACTTTTTGGTTTGCCTCATCATCAGGTTTTGCATGAAACTATCAAGTTAAGATGTGGCTAGCAGACATTTGTTTGCAACACTAATCTAGAGAGGGCTGTCATTATGCTCAATTCAACCCTTTTCACTATCAGCATGCACATTCTCCATACTGTTCTTGATACATTTCCTATGGTGCCACTAAAGAGAATTTACTTAAAAATCAAGCTCAGCCTTAAAGGTTGGCAAAAATGTGTGATCCATGGATGATATTGTGAAACAAATTAGATGTCATAAATGCTATTGCTTTAAGGAGTCAAGTGTTATTGCTTTCACTACTGAATGTGACCTGGAAGTTATTTCTCCTAAAATTGTTTGTACACCATCAAGCTGAGAAGGGATGAGAAGAAAAGAGAGAATCAAGTGATGGAAGTTTGTTTGATTTCTCACTAAATTCTCAGCACGAATATCATGAGAAGAGAATAGTAGACAGTGAAGAGAATTAGAATGTGAGAGCTCAGGAGCATAATGGTGAGACAAGCAGCCAATTATTTATTGACAACTAAATGAAAAAAAAAAAAGAGAGAATGTGGCAATTCGTCTTCATAGTAAATCATTACATTTATTAAGAAACTAAAACCACTTTTACATCATGTCTTTATTTCTGAAAAGATTTGCCAGGTCATGAGGTACATATTGGAAATTATAAGAAAAACTTAACCTTGCATTTTAACCCTTTAACTCCCATGAGTGACCAAGACTGAATTTCTTCTTACATTATCAATACAATATCAAGGAGACAAGTAATGAGAATCAAGAAAAATCTTATTTAGGGGATTATTAGTTGATCTAAAACCAAATTCTCCAAACTAACATCAGAAGAACTATATTGCAGACAGTAAGGAGAGTTACCAATGAGATCTTGGGAAAGGGTTAAAAGGATCTAAAAATTGTTAACTTTAGAAAAAGATAATTAATTTTCAGTTAAATGACCTAAGAAGGTAATGTTCCACTCAGATTGCAAAAAAAGAAATATTTTACAGTTGTAATGTAGCTTCACTTAGAAAGATATTTAATAATCCTTTGCAGAAAATTGTCATTTATACAGAAAAATATAATTGAATACAAATGTTCCTCACCAACTAATTTTATACAATATATACATGATCTTTTCCCTTTAACAATTGATATATATTTGACTGAATCTGGTATGAAAACTTGTCTACTTGTTTTGTGTGACTATAATATCAATATTTCTATAAATTATGGGGTTCATTTCACATAGAATCTTTTTGAAAATTATGAGTGATTTTTTTGGGAGAGGCGGTCATCATGCCCAATATAGTTTTGTACTTAATATCATAAACAGAGAAGTTTAATTCTTCCCACTATGGTAAAATTTGCAAAATTGTAAATGTTGTTATTGAACTCTTTCCTAAATAACATAAAAGTCTTTCCTTTCTTGGGATGGTTTGGAATTTGTTGAGTTTTTTAATCCATGTTTTTTGAATCTTTAATGCTGTCAATATTTCTATACTCTACAACAAGAGAGGGGTCCCCGCGCACAAATTGAATGGCCTCCAAGGTTAACCCCAGTAGTGCCATTCTCGTCAGCAGTTGGATTGTCTTTTGCTTCATTACCCTCCACATTTTTAACATTTCTCTTCAACTGTGTAGCTAAACTCATAAACAAGTTCTCTACATTGTCTGCTTCTTTGGCAGATGTTTCCATGGCAATACAGTTTTCTTGTTCTGCAATCATTTGCACACTCCCAAAATCCACTTCTCTCTCTTGTGACAAATCACTCTTGTTCCCTACCATATACATAAGCACTTTCTTGCTTGTAAATCTATGGACGTCATCAAGCCAATGTTGTTGTAAGTTGTCGAATGATTTTCGATTGGTGATATCATATGTTACAATGACTCCATCTGCATTGTGGTAGTAACTCTGTGTGACAGAACGGAAGCGTTCTTGGCCTGCAGTATCCCATACTTGCAGCTACAAATATAAAATAAATAAATAAATGTATAACAGGAATGAAAATAACAAGAGACTAACCCTTTACACCTTAATATCAGGAAGAATATTTTGTTGAATATACTGTTCTCTTTACAACTGACAAAGTGAATTTCTTTCACAATCAGGAGCTTTTTGATTGGCTGATCAATTCCTGTATTCTGGTAATCTTTAAGTTTGATCCAGTTAAGATAATGTATAGAGATATTAGGTGTTAGTCACTCTAAGGAGTTAAAGGCCATGAAAAAAATTTTTCACCACAAGTTAGCTTATTTGAAAAAAAAATTTAAATATTTCATTGTTAACTCTTTTAATTTGAGGCCTAAATAATGCACAGTCTCACAGGTTCAAGATTTATTCAGGCCTAAAAATTTCACATGCTTCTTAATCAGTAAGCCGGTGAATTATAGCTTGAGATCAGGACGTAAAGTTTTCTTTTTTGAGAAGTAACACCTTTTTTTTGTTTCAGCTTTCTTTTTTACGCTTATGTTTTCCAACAACGAAGCGAGGACTTCCGATTTTGAAGGCTCATCACTTAATGGATAACAATTCAGCTGGCAACTCATATAAAGTGAAACAGAATTATCTATCATATCTAACACCTAAATATCTAGGCGAAAATTAAAAATTTCACATGACACCGGCTAAAGCTAATGCAAATGAAACAGAAAGAGGGAAAAGTACCAAAACTAAAGGTAAATGGAAAACAAATGATTGTAATTGAATGTACGCGTTTCCGAGCGGAAGTCTCTCTATTACTGTATTCCCAAAACGAAATTTAGCAAGTTGTAAATGAGCTAGGGTTTTATTCACGCAATTTATTTGGGAAAAAGTTTCAACTTATTTTCCACACTGACAATGTTGTGGTTTTACTGCGCATTTAACAATGGAAGTTAAATCTACGTTTTAAAAATGGGCATGATCACATCCTCGAACTTCAAGAACTCATTTGTATTCTGTAAATCAACAGAGGACGAATTTATTAGGAGGAAATGATCTGAGGAATTTTCGATTTCTAACACCCAGTCAACAAAATTACCAGCAAAAAGCAGTTGAAACGTAGGCGCAAATTGCATATTACAATGGATCAAATACGCACGTACTTGCCAAGAAAGACAGCTATTTAAAATCTTCGAAAAAAGAAAAAAAATTCATAGTATCATTGAATAATGTTTTTCATTGAACGTCGCTTTCTTATCGGACGTCGAGGAAACGATTATCATCATTTAATTCATAAATATTGTGGTTTGAAAATGAAAAACAAAACCGATGCCGCTCACGAAAGCGGGCAATGTTAAATTTCACTCTTGAATCGAGCTTGTACTGGAAACAATTGAAAATACGAAAGAAACAAGTTTATACTTAGACACATGATTGAAAGTTGCCAAAATCATCATTTAATTTAGGAAAATATGTAGTGACGAAATGCAAAAAAAAAAAATTGCGAGCAGCTTTCGAAATCGAGTCTTTTTATGTTACAGCTTTGTTTCAGCAACACCGACAAACAAGTGTTATACCTTCACTTTTTCACCATCGACTTCTACAGTTCGTATCGTGAAATCCACGCCTATTGTAGGGCCCTGAGAAGGTGTAAAGAAACCTTTAGCAAATCTCTTCACCAAGCATGTTTTTCCGACGTTTGCATCTCCAATCAAGATGATTTTGAAAAGATAGCTGTAGTCATCCATTTCACGTGCGAAGTTTCTTGAGTTTAGATCGCTTTGATGTTTGAAATATTCAGATCGATCAACGCTCTAGTATATTCCGCCAGTTAAACGATAGTTGGTAGAGCACTGATGAATCGACAGGGAAAAACCAACGCATAAAAGTAAAATTTACTTCGATAAATTTAGCAGATTACATGCTGTACAATCACGCGCGAGAGTACTAGAAGCATTGTTTTCAATTGTTTTGATTGGACAAGCCCTACATGACGTCATAAAATAACAACTCCGTGTCTCTAGCGTCGACTTCCGGCACGTTCCTTTCAGTTTCGTTGAGTTCCGTTTCCGGTTTCGTTACTGAGAAAGTATTTCAATTTTTTATTTGTTTATCGTGCTATTTTACCGCACGACTGAAAACTTCCATATGGGAAACTGAAAACTAACCCCTGATTCTAATCAAAATATAACCACAAACATTTCCAATCTGAAACTAACGTCTCCTGTTTAACCGGAATATTTACACGATCTTAAAAGCAATACTTTTGCGCCCTTAAGGTCTTTCCGATTTTTGTGCTCGTGGTTAAAGAAGCATGTCACACTAAATACATCTTGGGGACTTAAGCATAAAATCGCCATTCCTGATCTATATCAATCCTCTCCCGCCTTTAAGTCGACCTTGTTCCTTCTCAGACTATTGTTGCCGCCTGGGCGTTTTTATTTCTCCTCTAAGATTTTAATGTCTCGTTCACGTTGTTTACCCAAGTTAAGAAAAAAATGACCTGCCTGGAGAGCGATGTTGCTTGTTTAGTACCTTAAATTCAGTAAGATACAAACAAAATCATTGTGAATAAAATAATTGTGGCTTACACCCTATATGCTGCATTCAGTTATCAACACTCATCAGTTCCATTTTGAGGTGGAACGGCACTAAAGGATTGCTTGTAAGATCTTGCTTAGCATTTCTAGGGATTGAAGAATGAAAATTAAACAGATGAGATGAGAAACAAACTATACTCCCTAAAATCAGTTAACAGAAAGCGACCATTGGGACTGAAAATGCTGAAGATGGGGAGAGGGAAGGGGGTGATGAGACAAAGAGGGGTTAATGTGGCAACAAGGAGACATCAATCAAGTCAAGAGCATGGCAAATCATTTAATTAAAACAAATTTATAATTTCCTAAATAGCTATGATACATATGTAATGGATTTAATCTTTTAATTCAACTCTCATGGTTACTCCTTTTAAAATTTCATTTATGAAATATGTAATTATTGACAATAATTTTTATTTGATCTTTGTTGATGGTTATTTATACTTTTGAACAGCACCAAAAGTATAAAATCTACAATGTAAATATAACATAGCATTACCTGAGTTACTTCATATTAGGAAGTGATATATTACTTATAAAGATGAAGCTATTATTACCAACAAACAACAATTTGTTAACGCAAGGAGCAGCTAACTTTTTCAAATCCCAAAAACTCTTTCATCAATTCTCCCTCCTGTCTGAAAATATTTCTTATAATGTCAGTACTGAGAATGCAGTGTTCAATCAAATTATGTCTCCTGCATGATATTCTCCTTTATTCTCCACAACTGACTTCTAGAAAATATATTGATTTTGTAGGGGGAGGTGAAATTACTAAATATCTCTAGGTTAATTTTACTATTAAAAGCATACAGTTTCAAGCATACAATTCTTACTTTTAGGGAATTATCCAAAGACATATTGGAGATTATCTAGTAAAACAATTAACATAATCTGTAAATCTCCACTGGAATGATAACTTGTTTTGAAATCTAATGTGAGAGTTATTTACAAGTTAATCAATTAAACTGTTTGTGCTATTGGTGTACTGAATACTAAATCATGTCCTGCAGCTTATTTGTATATCTGTTTCACGTAATAGCACTATTCCTTTTATCTGTAAACTAATGTTTTTGGTGGCATAATTAAAAAAAAAGATGGAAGTTTGATTTCAAGATAAACGCAAAGTAGTAATAGAATTATGGTAAGTTCTTGTTTCAGTGTACCAATCAAAGAGAAATATTGGGCCAGTTATTTCAAAAAGGTTCAGCAGCCTGAACAACATTGAATTTTTATTCTTGAGTTAAAAAAAAAGACATGGATTTTTGAGAAAAAAATTAAAGGAAGCTTAACAGTTATTGCTAAATAAAACATTTGAGTTCTTCAGTGACCCATAATATAGTCCCCTTCACCACACTTGAAATATTGAGATCCCATAATGGACTCAAACTGTAACCTAAGAAAGCCTTTTTAATTAACTGGACCATGTGGTTTGACATAAATCATGCTCACACTGAACATTCAAATTATTAAACAGTCAATCACCAGTGAATGATGATCTAGGTTCACTTGCCTGTGAATGCTTATTATTTCACAGTCACAATGAGATAATTTTTACTTAGAAACCAAAGGCAAATCTTAAGATAATTTAATTATAACCCCAGCTAACAAAAACAGACAACCCCACAACAATGTTACTGTGAATATGAACCCTGAATTTGGAACATTGAAAGGAAATATTTTTTCTGCTTGACACTTCATAGCACAAGTATTGAATTTTTACAACCTAAAACTATTGCAAACTTCAGAGCTTGAAAGCAAACTTAACTCAAAGTCTCAATTTACGTGGATTCACAACAATTTTTCCTGTGTTCTCTTGACTGATTCTTGAGTTTAATTCTCTTCTGTGAACCTCTGAATCTTCCTGATCTAGTTTTTGATTTGGTGCTTTCGCTATTGGAATCTTCACTTGTATAACGAAGTGGCCGATCCATAAAAGTTTTGGACTTAACGAGTTTGTGAGCAAGAGTTATAAAGATGGACTCAATTGTCTCCAGTTCTTCATCATTCTTGGTTGAAATTTCCCACATTGGCATATTGTGAAGATCAGCAAACTTTCTTGCTTCGTTTGAATTGATTGTTCTCTCATGAATAAGATCGCATTTGTTACCAATCATAAGTTTCGGAACTGAGCAGCCCTCACCATCAATTTCAGTGAGTCCATAATGATCATATTCCTGTAACCAGGTTTCTAAAGCCCTGAATGAGCCTTCCCTTGTGATGTCGTACATGAAAATAACAGCACTCACATTCCTGTAGTAATGAACAACCATGCTTTTACGAAATCTCTCTTGACCAGCAGTGTCCCATATTTGTAACTACAACCAATCACATTAAAAGTTTAGTCATTTTAGTATGAAATGTATGTCCCAGAGAGTTGTTGATGATAAAAAATTATAGAAAAATTGCCATAAGAAGGCCATAAATGAGTGCTTGCAAGGCTGTAAAAAGCCAAAAAAGCTTGTGAACTGAGATGCAGGATGGATAAAATGCACATTTATCATTGACCAAGCATGAGGTCAAGATGACTGGATGATAAACAATTTATTATACAGCAAAAAGTTTTAAGAATCAAGAATGACTTGATTATTTTCAAGTGCTCGGAAAATGCCAGTTTTTTTTTAGCACAATAAACTCACAAAAATTGTTTATTTTTTCTTTGTTTAGATTCCCTTCTGCCATTTTATTTGACTCCATAGCCAAAATTGTCCAAAAGTAGGTGAGAGTAGCAACACAAGAGTAGAACACAAGATTTGCTTCATCTTGCCCATAGGCACTGACAGCCATATTCATGAAACAAAAGAAAATCTTGAATAAGATATAAAGTAGTAGTCATGATATGCTTATTGATGGAGTCAGTCTGAACCAAATTTCGAACCAACAGATACCTAGCAATTTCCTTGTGGAATATTGGCACAATCTGGGATGGTGAGGAACAGTGAAATCTCCCCTGGCTAAGGATCTTCCATGCACCTTTAATTTTAGCACAAATAATTCAAGCCGGCTGTCTATCCTTCCATCTGGGTGAATCTCAGTTCGAAAGGCACTTGATAACAATTATTGCTGTTGATGCAGCATATTTAATGTTCTTCTGGTTGGTTTGGAATCTAAACAATTTATTATTAAAGTGGATTATTGAAAGCTACTCATCTCTAATGCTTTATAAGAATGATTGGTTGATCCATGTTGCAAGATCTATCCATTCACGTCTTATGAGTAATTGCACCAAGTGTATTGTTTCCTGTGTTAATGCATGCATGTATCCTGAAACTTTATCGAGAAACACCGAACAAGACAGAAATCACGACGCGACATTCCAAGTACACGAAGTAGACGTGAAATGTGAGAGATTTTAAAAAGGAATTAATCCACAAGCACAAAGAACCGCAAGAAGACCTGCTGGAATAAGCATTTCAACTCACCCGAACGCTCGACCCGTTTATTGTAAGCGATCTCTCCCAGAAGTCAACCCCAATTGTTGCTTCTGTCCTTTCAGGAAATTTCCCCGTGGAAAATCGATGAGCGAGGCAAGTCTTTCCGACGCCACTGTCGCCGATTATTATGATCTTGAACACTTGTTCTTTAGCTGATACTTCACGTTCTGCATCTTCGTCTTCTTTGTCGTGAAACATAACGTAGTTGTGATAATGTTGAGGAAATAATTTCAGTTATAAATCTTGGTTACAGGCGAGAAAAGACTAGGTGATCATAGGGATCTAACTTCACTGTGTCACGCACGAATTAGAGCATTCGTCGAGGAATTTCCTGCCGGAAACAGAAATTCCTTCCATCAAAAATTAAAACAGTGGATTTTTCAATAAAATGTGAATGCCGGTAGGAGATGGAAAAGGAAAATAAACAAGTTAGTAGCGATATTCGTGCCTACGTACTGTTTTCACGAGCCGAAATTAATTCTGGAATTGTTGCCAACTTAAGCAGTGCCAAATATGGGGAAGCAGCCGCAGCTCGCGATTATTCGGGGCTCACAATGCGCTCAGAGCGGGATGCTTGAATGACACTATAAGAAAGTAATTTTGAATGGATTTTCAAAAGACCGAGTTGTTTCATCCTAGCCGCGGGAAATCGATCTCAAGCGATATTGTCCCTTTTTTTTTTTTTTTTAAAGATCTACACCACCAAGACCTAGCCCTTAATGTTCTCAAGTTCTAGGACTGAAGGTTAACTTAAGAAAAAAAATGTTTCATATCAGGAGCCATTACTTATTGAGCTCCTGATGATATACATTCCTTCCTAAGACTTCACTAGCCTGCGGAGTCAGCGCTTTTGTGTGTGTTTTGGAGCTTTGAGCGGTCTCAAACTCGTACTCGCAACTCGGGCGCTTAAATTATCGCCAGCCACTGGCTAGGATCGGAAGGTTTCTGATATCCAAGTGAACCTCCCTCGGTCTTACTACTTTTGTTGTAAAACGACCTGTGGAGCCCCACGCACGCACTCCCATTGAGAACCATAGTAAAAGCTGACGTGTGAAATGCCGGACGGGTTCACGTGAGCTGGTCCGGAAAAGCCGTCCGGCTCCACACTAACACCGCTCTTTCGCATTTCCTAAGAGCGCAAATTGAAATTAGATGAAGTATGAATTTCTTGTTCTAACTCAGAGATAAAAGGGAAAAATTTTGATTGTAGAAAGTTTTTACTAATTGTCTTGGGTCTACCTTTCTTTGCATACAAGTAAGTCCTATTCGAGGTAAACAAATTTCCAAAAAATTTTCAACTCTTGGTATTCATATCATGAAAACATGGTCGGGACGGACGGGAAAATATTTGGCCCTCGGTCATGAAGCAGAAACCTCGTTGAGCTCGGTCACTACGTCATAACCTCTAGCCAAAAATTCCTTGTCCGGCTCTCCCGCTCAGTCGTTAGGGACCTTAAGCAGTAAGGACGGCAACGCCAAGAAAAACTTCGATTAAAAAATGAATTTCTGCCTTTAATTAGAATTTAAAAAATGGCTGCATGTGTCAACTTCAGCATAACGTAGAAAAGAAGCGTAGAGTTCTAAATGGAAATTAAAATAATTTGCTGTCGCGGTTTCGGTTCGCAGACGACGCAAATTGTGGTGATTTCACGTTGTTGTTTTGCATAGGACGGCTAAGAAATGTACAAAATTTTAAAACGCGCGTGCTGAGCTATTGCTCTGCCAATTAGATCTTTTGTTTTTCCATGTCCTCGTTGCCGTCGCCATCGTGGTTTGCTTAAGGTCCCTAATGAGTACCCCATCTGTTATTGCCGGTAGGAAGACTGAATATTCTGTTTACCTCTATCAAGATAATATAGTCAATATTCTCTTGCCTCTGTCCAGTTTTTGTGATCGTGCAAACCATAAGTGGTCCATAATCCAATAGGTACCGTGATTAAAAAATTAACAACAATGAAACAATTTTTTAGTATTTTTCAGTTTATTTTTCATATTCATTTTAAAACGCGCGTGCTGAGCTATTGCTCTGTCAATTAGATCTTTTGTTTTTCCATGTCCTCGTTGCCGTCGCCATCGTGGTTTGCTTAAGGTCCCCAATGAGTACCCCATCTGTTATTGCCGGCTCGATCTGTTCACAGAAAATCTCCCGCGAAATTTCTTCGTAGCTGATATCAAAGCGCTCCTGAACTGTTTGTACTTCCAGGTATAAATGAGAGGATTTAAGCAGCTATTTGTATAACCCAGCCACAGAAAAATCAAACTCACTTTGGGGTTAATTTTTTCCTGTTTTAGGATGTCTAGGAACAATTTTACACAGAAAGGAGTCCAGCAAAAAAAGTACGCCCCGATCACGGTAAGGAAACTTTTTGCTGTTCGAATGTCAGATGCGTGGGAGCGATGTCCCCGAGTTTGTCTACTGTTTGAAGCAAAAGGAGCGAAAATTTCGAAAGCTTTCCTTGGTGTTTCTATTCGAGAAGTCGACGAATATGAAATATCCTTCATTTGCAGTGGTTGAAATTTTTCACTTGACATGCAATTGGGAAAATTCTGAACATTTATCCTCCGAACGTGTGAACGCGCGATTCCGAATATTTTCCAGTAGCAAACTGCCATTACAGTCAGTGCGAAACAGTATGTTAGCCCTAACACTGCGATGGCGAAGACGAGAGATCCACTTGATCCAGACCAGTCTTTTTCAATATCGCAGTTATCCAGATTAGGGATGAAACAGAAATATGAACTTAGGCCGAATTTTGGCGGAAGAGCGCAGAACATAGCATAAAGCCAGACAAGCAAAGACGCCGCCACGGCTTTTCTCGGGCTAACAAAAGATATGTATTTGAATGGTTTCGCAATCGCAAACCATCGGTCGAACGATAGTAGCTGCAAGTTCATGATGGAACAAATACAAAATAGAAAGTTTGAAAAGCCGATAAACTCCTTAAATCTGAATCCGAGTCGAAAGCCGCCACTCATTAAGGTGTCCAATGTCGTTGGGATTACAGTGAAGGCAACAAACAGATCGGCGAGCGCCAAGTTTACCACAAACCAGTTTGATTCCTTCCGACGAAGCTGCCTCGTGTGCGCAATAACTATCACAACCAAGAAGTTGCCGGTAACCGCCAGGGAATTGACCACAAAAAGGGCAATGAAAGAAATGATTTTTTCTGAAGAAGACCAACTTGCGGTGAGAATTCCTGAGCGATTACAGGACATAACGGCGGCGAAGTTTTCTTCTCACTCTTTCGGAAAAACGCAACATACAATTAATTGTCCTGCTGGAAACCCCGACAAAGTTCACACCCTGTTGTTTTTAATCTTCAAGAATACAGCTGCGATTTCAGTAGGAAAATTGTAAAGGCGACAGTCGCCCCGGCAACTTCAAAATATGCGTGATTTTTGCTTGCAGTTGACTATGTAGTTCTTGGCAGGACTTCAAGTCAACATAAAAATACCCGAGAGCTTGTCATAACATGTCGTCAGCTCCCACTCATAAAAACTTATGGCAATAAAAATGTTTTAAACTCAAGTACCCGCTAAGCTCCATAAAAAGAGGAAATTTCAATGAGCTATTAGACGGATAATTTTGCGTTTTCAATGCAGTTAATAGATCAGCCATCTGACGGATGCGAATAGTTCGTTTGTTTCACTTAATTGAGCTGTTGTAACTGTTCTCCTCGTCAAACAGAAATGATTTTGCAATTGGGGTTTTCGAGCGATATTCACACGGTAGAAATCAATGGAAAGGCAAGCTGTACTTGTGTTTTCTTACAAGGTAAATAATTTATCGTATCAGGTGCGGGATGATCATGGAAAAGACAGGATCAAATCCTGTTTATGTAAATAATCCTATTTTTTATTCTCACTCAAATGGAAACAGTTGTAAGTCACATAAATGAAACTTCTTAAATTTATGATGAAAACAAAAGTCAAAATGGCAGATTGTATACGTGAATGTAATTGTTTATAGATTTGTTCAAACATAATATAAATTTCAAACAAATATTATTTTCCGGTGTTTACTTAAGAAATGATATCGAAGAAAAATCATCTTTTGTTTTTATCAGTTTCTATGAACATTGCCCTGCAGACTAAAGGGAAACAATTACAAGTTTAATATCGAGATACTTGGGCTAATTTTTTCGCTCAGTAAACTTGTATTGGAAAACGAGCCTCTATGAAAGCACAACCCAAGGTTATCAGGGCCAGCACAGAATTTTCTCCAATCGAGGGGCTTAAGCGCGACTGAGAAAGCGGTACCCAAGATCCGATGCTCCCCGTAGAAAAACATTTTGATCTGAATTCCACCAGGGGACAAGTACGACATTATTTATAACCTGGGGTGGGTGGGTGGGTTTGTGTGTGGGGGTGGGGGAGGGGGAGGATTTTTGGACTTCGGGGTGGATCACAAGATTTTCAGGGTGAACGGAGGGGAATCAGTCGACGCTGACAGAGTACATAGGAGGGGTGGGACTATAGAAAATTAACTGCCAAATAACAGCCAATGAGGGGGGATCAGGTAAATTTTATCATAAAATAGCCAAAAATCTCCGACCCCCCTCCCCACCTTCCCCCCCTTCTTTGGCGACATATAATTACCAGTCCCAAACTTCCTCTAAATTGACAGGAAATAGATTTTAAAATAGCAAACGAATTCTTAAAAGGTGAACGTTCCATGTTACATTTAACTACCCTTCGTCAGTCCAAAAATTTAAAATTTCTGATCACTCCCAGGAAATCTCCTTCACCGACAGCGCTACTGCTATTTATCGTTTGATACATCAAGACTCCAACGATTTTCACCTGGATTGCAGTTAACGTAACGGTGTATAAACGATGTATCAACGCGAATGGAAATAATAATTTACAAAGTTATTTATAAAGTTTATTCCACTTGCAAAATAACTGAAGCCAGAGGTGGAGAAATATAATGCCAAAATATCTCAGATTTCTGCGACCTGAAAAATTGTCGGCAATGTCAAGAAAGAAGAGGTCTATACTATAAAAGGAGGACCAGAACCAGTGGAGAAGGGGTGAAAAAAAATCCGCACCTTGCTCTTTTGGACAATATATTTTGCCTTCTACAACTGTGACAAGCAACTTCAGTTAATACTGATGTTTAACGAGCTCAAGATTTCTATTGTGTAGGGCTGACGAAGGCGAAGAAAGAAGCAACTATTACGTATACAAATCGAGAGCAAATGATCTAATTCTTTGCTTTAAATCTGCTAGTCTTTCAAAACTTATAAATACGACAGGCTTATATCTTTTTTCATTTTGTTTACAACCGCACGCTGTTTTGCTTCTTACCAGTACTCCCCCGTCTTCATAGAATAGATAACAAGTATAGTTTAGCCAATCAGTTTGCAGCATTTATGATATCTACTGTAGTTTACTTTAGTATCAAATATCTGTTTTCAAAATTTTCTAAAAATGTGCTCCTTTGGTCTATTATCATCATCACCATTTCCCAAAAAAGCTTCTACAAGAATCATTAAAAAAATCACTTTCAAAATCATTTTAAGAATAAACATTCTCTATTTTTCTACCGATAAACCTCTCTAGAAACCTAAATCATTTCATTTGAATACAAAATTTGACGTACTAAATTCTATCAGACTACAAAATCATCGAATTTAATTATTTTTTACCTCGCGTCGAATTCAGCAAATCTCCGAGAAGGCAAAAATAATCTTAGTTGGCACAACGTGCCATAGGAACACGACAGATGTATTTTTTCCCATGATTAACTAGTCGATTCCTCTTTTTTGATAAAAAACTGCAATCATTTCTAGCTTCAAGTATCAGTACCAGCCTTAATATTTACTAAATAATACCAATAAATGTTAAACTATCATTAACAGTATCCTCGGTGATTTTTTTGTAAAGGCCCTGTGTTCTGTCTTCATTTTCGTTCCTAGTCTCCGTGCACCTGTCACTCTCTTCAGTTAGAGTTAATTCGGAAGCTGATGTTGACGACATCTCTTCTATGCAAATGTATTCACTGCTGACACCATTGGATGGTGCACCGCGGGCTTGCTGAAAAGTACAGTTTGGCTGAGAGACTGGAGTCTGAAACTTGGCTTCTCCGCCAGCATTTTTTACATTGTCATTATTCAAGCAATTTTTGCCTTTGTCAGCGAGTTTGCTCGTATCATAGAAGATAGGCGAAGAGAAATCGGTGCGTGGCGGTGGTTTCTCTCGAGGAGTTCCGCTCTGAGGCAAAGTTGATGGTTGTTTCTGCTGCTTCCGGGCGAACGTACCGGGTGTAGTCCTCTTAAGCGAAGCAGGTAAGTGTTTGGCTGGGACATGGTACCTGACTCCTTTAGGAACAGTTGTCACACGCACGACTTTACTCGGAGGGGAGGTGTAGCCCGGGGTATTTCTCGCCAACAGCTGCTGCAGAGGAGACTCATAATGTGACCCGATCGTTTGGCGATGGGAAAACTGACGGTTTGGAAGCTTCACTGCGCCTGGTTCCGTGAAAGACTTGCTCCGCATCACAGGGACACGGGCATGATTTGAGTTTTCTTTTAAACGAGGAGCACTCGAGGGAGAAGCACATGACCGAGGGATACTGGAAGGTGACAGTGACCCTTCTATCTTCCGGGGGATTTCTCTTGTGATGGGGCTGTTTCGTGATAGCGGTTGCTGTTGAGACGCATTCATGGGTCTGATAATTCCCATATTGTACGAATTTGGTTGAGAGATATGGATTGTTCGTCTCCCTGGTGTGTTCCGAATGATGTCTCCGTAGTTCATTCTTGGGCGTGGTCGGTCCCAAGTCACAGGAGCACCCTCGGTCGAAATCTGACGAGCGACTCTGGTTGCTGTGCTTGGAGCAGTGAATGAATTGCTTCGCATGACAAGCTGGGGGCGCTTTTCTGTGGCGGAAAAGGACTTACTTCTGCCAAGCTCCTGGAGATTTGGAGTCGGTGTTTTGAGTTTTCGTTCGTTGGACTCTTGAAGCTTCGGAAGTGGCGCAGACAAAGGTGAATGGCCCGCCGGGGCAGACAAAGTCCTTTTAAATCTGAGTTGTTGGAGAACACTTTTTTCGTTTCTCATGAGGAAGGGCGACATGTCCTCTGGAGCAGCAAGGGGAGAGGTGGGTAGAATGTTTGTCTCCTGTATTGTATCTTCAGATACCTCTGCAGAGGAAAGGGTTTTGCCTTTGATAAAACAGGATATCTGATTGAGTACACCTTTCTTTTGTTTCTTTGGCTTCTTATTTGTTCCTTCGCTGCTTGTCTCACTCGCTGTTTCACTCGGAGGCTTTGTTGTCTCTTCCTGTGTATGCGGCGTCAACGACTTCCCATCTCTGGCTTCTTTAGTCTCAGTGCTAGATACTGAAGCTTTTCGCTCCAATTTGGCCTCCTCTCTGCTCTTCTCGTTTTCTTTTTCCTTCTCCTTAACATTATCCTCTCCTTTTCCTTTACCTTTTTTCTTACTTTTGTCATTTTTCGCTGATTTTCCTTTTGAAATGACTTCACACGCCACGCACTTCGATTCTTTCGCGCTTTGAACCTCGCCATTTTCTTTTGGCGCGTCTGTGGGTTTGTTAAAAGGGTTATGACCGTTCACAAAGTATCCATTACCTGTGTGGTAAATTCTACGTTCCTTGATCAGAATTCCTAGGCAGTCATGAATCACATTGAGTTTCGGCACGTGTACGTATTGGTAAGTTCTTGCCAGGTATTCCGCGATCGATTGCTGTGTGGCTGTCAACTGACTGCTATTCAAGGCAGCTATGGTTTCCATCAGAGACTTGGTTAATGGAAGGAATGGAGCTTGCTGGATAACTTCCATACCAACAGAGCTTACAGCGCCTGGGGAGAGTAATGTTTGAAGCGCGTGAGAAAAGTTGAAACGAATAACTTCCCGCTAAAAACTTTTTAAGATTATGGGTGTGAATTGATGAACCGGTGAAGGGAGGCGTGCGCGGGGTGTGTGTGGGGTTGAGGGGAGGGGGGGTAGTAAAAGAGCATGTGATCCCCTCTTGGTCGAGAAAACGACTTGAATTATAATGAAACAGCCGGAAAATTGCCAGCCGGACGATAGTGTAGCACTTATTTCATGACCACCCCTCTCAATGTGGCTCTGTTGCTCCATGGGAGAGAGGCTAGGCGTGCCTCACTTTTTGTTTTCGAATAATCCTAGTATTTCTGTAAAAATTTTACTCTTTTAATTTTTTAATCATTACTCGAACTTAGCTTTGTATTGAGTATCGACTATCGAAGCTCTTTGCAACTGTATGGACCGGGAATGAGAGAATCAACTGTCATAATGATGGCTTCAAGTAAAGAAAGGCAAGTACTCCCAAGGAAATCTATTATCAGTCCTGAATCGACGAAGGTGAAAAACTTTCATCACAGCAACATGTATTTATCAGGATAAAATATGAGACAGAGGGGGAGGTTTTGCAGTTTCGGAATATTCAAACGGTTCGCTGACTTTTCATTTATCGAATGAAAGAAAAAAAAGCAATTGAGGAACATCACAGACAGAGTCGGTATCGTATGAACACTATTCAATTCACTAGTTCAATTTCGCTGCAGTAATTTTTAAGATGATGCAGCGCGGATGGCACGAGAAGAAAACTCACGTGCGTGCAAATCGTATCCGCGCGCGCTCGTGTACGTGGGAGAGGGGCACGCGCGTGTACGTGGAAGTGTAGTAAAGAAAATTTATTTCAAGTTACCTTTTCTTCTCTATTTTTCCTTTTTTTTGCATAGGTTAAAAGAAAAATTAGTTTGACAAGAATTAAGTACCATTATTTCCTGCTTATTACCATACTTGTTCACTGCTGAAATTTTAAATAGGCTTTTCTTGAATTTGCGCACCGGTGTTACATTTCATGAACACGAAAACTCAGCTAATGTTGATGTGACGGAGAGCAGATAAAATAAAACGGAAACGATTATTTAAAATTGAAAAAAAGGGCTCCTCTCTTTCCATTACTCATATCTTCGGAGCAAATTACCGAAAAAAAGTGAAAATTCTTAATATCGCTCATAGCCAGCCGAAATGTAAACACCAATTTGTTTAGATGTTTTCTAGAACAACTACAGTGCATTAGGAAAAATACTTGGCAAATTACTGCAAAGCTTAAGGTTTACAGGAATAGTATCTTTCCCAAACCGCAAAAAATTTAAACGATGCAGTTATATCAGCAGAACAAAATCGGACTCTGGTCCGAAACTTTTCAACTTTTCTCTGAAAACATTGCGTGCTGCAGTGAACATTTGCGCTCAAAACGAATTCTCTTCTAATCATCTTGCTATAAAATTATTCCTTGTTCCTCTCAGTATGAAAGTTCCTTTTACTTTGTTTTGACTAAATTTTATTTTTCTTCCCATTAGTTGGACCGCCCACTGTCTTAGCGGGTCATGCACGGCAGAAGACAAAGACTGCTCACTTAAAATCGTTAAAGCGAACACAATCCTTCTCGCACTTGTTCAAATTTTCCTTCTCATTCGGGAGGCTTTTAAAGCAATATTCTCATCTACTTTGATGCTGAAAATAACTGCAATTCAAACTTGAGGACAAATCCCTGTGAAGTTCCATAAAAAGTTACCATAAAAATAACATGATAAAATCAAGTGAGATTCTTACCTCCCGCCGGTTTTCATTTAATATTCGAGACATTATGTCTTCTGCAAATGCAGTTTGCTTTTTGCTTGTACCATGTTTGATGCTATTGTGTACTTAAGAGTACAGATAGATGTTTTAAGTTTGTGTGACATTCCTTTCCCATTGAAAAACACAATTGGATTTGAACAGGAAAGATCCTGTTAATCCTAGCTTTCGGCGAAAAACTCACTATAAAAGCATGACTTCCGGCTGGAAAGAATAGCCAAGGTTTTGCAAATGAGCAGTGTGCGACAACATCAACATTTGAATCGCAGAGCGAAATGAAACAATGTGCTACCCTGCTATCAGTCCAAGAGTGAAAGAAAACTAATAAAGAGTGATTCTAGTATCGTATTCTTTTGTATCGGTGAACTGTTTAACTCATTCAAAACATCAAGAACACGGCTTATTAAAGATATCACGCGTGGAAACGCTTAAATATCCCTTTCTTTGCCATTTGTCAAAGCCTTCATTGACAATAGCCGTCACAATAGACAAATGAACTTAATTTTGGACTCAGACGTTGATCATATGTTTATCAAATAGAAAATCTCCGGAGTTGTTTTAGTTTCTTCGTTGTAGCTTTAAAAGCCTGAAGCAGTCAGAACCGTGTTTCATGTCGAAAACAGTTTGGTTGTTTGAGAGACATAACTGCGACAGATTCACGGGTGAAATCATCCATGTAAAAACTTATTTATCATTCGGAAGCCCGCAGCTTTTCTTCTCCAGTCAAGCAAAACCTCTTGTCCCTAATGGAAAATTCAAATGAGCCAAAACCAAAATAGTAAAATGCATCAGAAGCACATGATTATCTGGAACTATCTTAAAACGATATATTTCTGTTCAGTTTAAAAGCGTGTTAATTATTAATCTGTGTAATTTTGAAGACGTTACAAAGAAGTAACTGCATTAGCAAGTGAATCCAGAACAGCGAACTAGATCGTAGTAGGGTGTTTGAGTTAAATGCACTACATTGTTTTCGCATAAAGCTAAGGTTGGCACGGCAAGAACATTCTTGCGAACTCATATTGAGAAATAACAGAACTGTAATATTGTACGACCGGCTATCTGCACTTATGTCATCGGTTGTTTTATATACACCTGCTCTGAGAATCTACTTGTTTGCCTATAACAACTCGCTAACTGTGTGCGCGTAGATCGAACGAGTTACAGCGTTTTTTTCCCTCTCCACAGATCAGGATGTCAGAACAAGTTCCCCTGAGGGATGTGTTGCGGTGCTCAAAACATGATAAGTTTTGAATGCGAGTAGGTTTCGGCAGTCTAATTAAACGCAAATTACGTTGAGGAACACTTAGCAATAATTCTAGGTATCAGTTTCTGAGGAAAGCCCCGCAAAGCTGATTGACGAGTTCATGAAAGCGTTTTTATCTCGACTGATCGCAATCTGAAAAGCAAAAAAAAACTACTTGAATGACTGAAATAAACTTACCTATATCTTTGATTATAAAATTATCCGGGCTCCGGAGAAAATGGCGTCTCCAAGCCTCCTTGATCACTTCAACATCTTCATGTGGTCCTTTGATCAGTAATGTGAACGGAAAAACCCAGCCTTTCAGACGAATCTCGCTCAAACTCTCCGTTAGCCTTGTTAGCATTGTAGATTTGTTCGCCTCTTTGAATTCGTGGAATAATTCTAATCCGTTGAGTTGATGCGACGGTTTAGAATCGCCGCTTTCAGACGAGTCGTCTCTGCGAATATTTTCGCAGTTGTGTACTGTTGATGTCGGTCGAAATACGATCGCTAAGACATTGCTGAGGACAATCGAGCACTTTGGAGTCCTGTCCCGCATCGATTTGGTATTCAAACTCATCCCTCAAAAGGAAATTTGGAGTTTCCTGGCTAAGTGATCTCGCGGTAACATGAACTTGACTTGGAGCAAGCACACTGTTATTAGTTTTGTAATTCACATATCTGCTGGTGGTTTATAGGAACCATCAATCACAGAACGAGATAGTTCAAACAAATGCAAATTTTCAAAACAAAGGCCGCAGTGAACGTGAACGTGTCTAGCGATGACAAAAGTACACCGACTCAAAACTCATGAATAAATTTATCAACAAGATTATCACGCGGGCCACAGAACGTCAGAATACCACAAAATAACAAGTCAAGCGGTCAAGTGGGCCCGACATAGATATTATTGTGGTGAAAAAAAATATTAGCGTCGAATTGTCGCCTCTTAAATAGTCATTATAGACATATTCCTCTGTCTATATAATGACTCGTATCAAATGAATTAACCTTTTCCTCACATTGTTCGCGTGCGTGTTTCATACGTGTGTACACGCGTGGCATATTAATCGCACCAAGATTAAACTCTTAGCCCCTTTATCACTTAGCAATGGGTACGAATTTTAAGCACAGCTTAACCGAAATAAAGCTATTTATGTGACGTAATAGCTAATTTAGCTGGAAAGAGAGCAGTTATTTTTTTTCAACACGGTGTTTTCCACGCAATAGAAACTCAAACTCGCGCGTTTGCGTCCCATGGGAAATATCTCAAGATCCCGCAAAAATCAAAGGCGATAGTCCTAGCTAAAAATCATCTGTCGCATTTTTAGCCTCAGAATTAATTTGAGCAATTCTGTTTTCATAAGAAGTACGCCAAACCACAGATTTCCGGGGTCAATGAGCATAAACGGCACAAAATAAGTTGAAAAACTACCAGTAAGATTTAATGGTTTACAACGAGGCGCTCATTTAGCTGTCTTTCTTAATGTTGATCTTTGGACTGCGAGCATGGAAACGATTCTTGTCAAGCGCGTTATACTAACTTTATTGATTTTTTGTGATAATTAAAAGTTGACACAATGTTTTTTTTTTTCAAATTAATTAATCAACTTATATTGCTAGGGGAAGCTTACAGGAAAAAATAGAAATTAAAAATAACGAAATAACCGAAAAAAGGTTTAGAAAATCATGTTAAGGTAGATATGATGTATTTACCCTCAACACGAAAGACTGGTCACCCGCACTTAACATGTGGTTGTTAATTATATTCATGTTCCTTAGAAACAGGTCGTTAATTTTATTAACCCTGTAACTCCCACTTGTCAGCAAGACATAATTTCTCCTTACGATATCAATACAATATCAACCATACGAGTGATGAGAATAAAGAAAAATATCAATAAGGGGATTACCAGTTGATCCAATGATCATGTAACTCACGTTATACGCTTCTGTTTTTATACAATTCGGTTCTTTTAACCAAAAAGGCATATTTGTAACAGAATTCTAAGGTTGTGTCGTGCTACCAGACAAAGCATAATCTGAAAAAGATTTAAGCAATATCCTCTGATATTAGTTTCGAGATCAAGGATCAATTACAGGATACACCCAGAAATTCACATATTTTTCCTCGCGATTAGTGTAAAAACTAGGCAGATGCTATTCCGAAAAAAAAAGTTTCTTGTCCATGGTTTTCCATTGAAATTAAATTTTTTCTTGGACGTAATTTGTTCTAGTCTTGATTCTAGATGGATAAATGCAGTGACCCAATTTCTTTAGTGTCTTACGCCTGAAAAATCTTAAAGCCAAGTTGATATGGTAATATGCAAAATTGTTTGCGCGGTTGGAAAAGATAACGATTGAAGTTGAAGTGAACCAACCAATACTATGGATTTTATATAAAAGAGGGCAACTCCGCCATCAGACACTTCAGTACCGTAACTAACATCTTATAACTGGGGCAACAACAAGAGCAAAACAACATTTATCATTTCATTAGAAATTCTGCCAGCTATTCAAACCACGAGACTCATGTATCACGTCCACAAATTTTGATGCGACGATTTTTTGCGATCGATAATCCGCTATCAGAGCCAAAAGTGCATTTCTTAGTTGGTCCAAAACCTCATTTCGTAAAATTTGAATTGCAGTAAAAGGCAATTTGTTAAAAGAAGACCAAAGTTTTCTGCAGCATTTTTCAATGCCGTAATATCTTGCTCTGGAAAAATTTGGAAACCCATCTAGGTAATATAGAAAACGTTACCATAGCGACTTCACATTACTACCGAGATTTGCTGCTAAAATGGAGGAGTCATCCTCGCTCCCAGGGCCCCGGGAACGAGGATGCAAGGGGTAATTGTCACTCATGTTAATAAAAATGCTTATGTACAATTATAGTTGAAATATTTTGAATTAGTAGAGCACATGAAGGCTCCACATCCACTTATTCAAGGCCTTGGGCCAACAGGATATCTTGATAAAGATACTAAATGCTGAAATTTTGTACTTTATTTAAGATTCAAGACCCCGAAAACCACATCCTCATGGGTGGGAGATACTGTAAGACAGTGTCATCCTCCGGGCCAAACACCTTAGGCATTCTAGGCAGGAGGCAATAAGGTGCATGTGACCCCTTAGGACGTTGATCCAGAATCCCTCCCCCCCCCCCTCCGCCTTTTTGAAAGCTTTCGGCCCAGGAGTCTCTGAGAGGGTAATTCTGGAAAAATGTATGGCCCCACCCTGAGGCGTCGTCTTAATGCGGAGAGGGAGACGAAGAAATTCCACACCAAAAACCTGATATGTTTAGGAGAACTCGAGCTTCCTTTGTCTGACCGGAAACTTACATCAAAGGTATGGCGCGCGCACTTGTGCGCGCCTTTGAAGTCTAGACGGCGATAAAGGAATTTAAGAGCCAGAACTTGGCTCGGCGTAAATGATAGAACAACACAGTGATAGGCAGTAATCAATAATTTTTAGCTCTGAGTGGGCTCCACCAAAAGAACAAACATCGCAAATTTAGCCAAGCTGATCAATTGAAATCCTTGCTATTCTTTCTCCATTCTGTTTCCCTTTGTTATTACCTAACATAAGTAAGCCTTTTGTTGTCTTTCGAAAATACATTAACATGTAAAAATACCTTAAAAGTCAGTGAGCTAAACCCTTGCTACTTACGCAGCTCTTGATTTATGAAACGCTGATTTAAGCAGTCCTGTAAAATGTAGTCATTATTATCATCACTCGTTGCACCAGTGAGCGCATAAGGCCATCACATTGTCCGCCCAACCCCCCTGTCGCTCACCGCCAACTTGGCCACATTCCAGCTCTTCCACCCCGCCTTGCCTCTCTCTCTTTCAACAGTCCTTCTCCAAGTGGTCTTTGGTCTCCCCCTCGCCCTTCGACCTTCTGGAATGTACCCAAATATTTTTCCTCTTCGCTCAAAAGGGGCACCGACAGTGAACAAAAAGTTGCTATCGGCGTACAGTTACCTGACAGAAACTGAAAAAAAAAGTCTGTCAAAGCGCAAAAATAAAATTTCTTGACCAGAGGAAACAGCTGACAGAAGAGTATGATCTTTCCACGCGTTGAACTGAGACCATAATAATAGAGGATTTTACTTCGCGCTTTTGTTGCAGTTGAACATATCAGGTTAAAGATGTCAAGGGAAATATTTTTTAAAGGTCTTGTTGGTTGCGGACTTGACCCTTTAAAGGTCCACTGACAAGTGCTGAGTTCAGGGTTTCACATACATGAAACTTAAAGCCCACAAGAATGATTAGTATTTCATTTGACCTTGAAGACACTTAAAATTCTCATTAAGGGTGAATATATGAGGACACACTTCTTTACGAAAGGAATTTCGTCTCGGAATTACACATGGCGCGCCATACTAGGATTATGGCGCTCGGAACATGACAATCAACAAGAGATAACTTGAGTGTAAACAAATCACGCACGTTTACCTGACGCAAATCATATGAAGCGCGGACAGATTTGAGAACTGCGCGGCTTTGGATAAACACCGACGGTGATTGCCTGACTTTAACAATATTGTAAAAAACAGCTGAATGGATAAAGACGAAAGCAATATGTCCTTTGCCCGCTGCTGAACCCATAAGCTCATTACAGAGATGGCAAAATTTCGAGATGTCAGATGTTAACTTTTGACTTGCGTGGGAGTTCACAGACACTTTTGTGAAATCTGAATTTTCTCGTCCAAGGTGAATAGTTTCACGGCCTCACTTTGTCAAGAAGAGAGCCACTCTCCCTGAAAAGTACTTGACGTGCCATAACTCCGCAAAGGCACAATTAGAAAAACCGCACTTTATTCATAATTTTATACAGTTACAATTAAAGCCAATACAAATGACGGATTTTTTGTTCATCGCATGGTAATGATGATGATGATGATAATGATGACAACATTTGTACAGCCTAAAGTCTATAAATCACAAAGAATCCTACAAAAATTTACAGAGAGCAAGAAAAAATGTAACAAAAATGGCATTGATTGCTAAAACGGCGAGACAGTAAAAACATTAAAAAAAAATTGCAAACAAATGAAATATTAAAACAATTGAAACAATTCGTATTCTAGTCTAAAGAGTTGTGTCTATCTCTTTCCTTTAAGGACGGTAGCATTTGGAGTGGATCTTATCTCAGGGGCACTTTGTTCCACAAGAATTGCCCACAAATCGTAAAAGGCGCGATCACTGAAAAGAGGCCTTGTGTATAGCTCTTGGGACTATGAGGGGGCTGTATCTCTGAGAACGTGTGCAAGAGCTTTAGTTTTCCGGGAGGTCCAGGAAAATTAAGATGCTTTGATCCGGTAAGATTACTTTGGAGAGACTGCAAATGCGCTCCGCCTAAAAGAACCGGCATCTTAAAACTAACCGCAATGTCTACAGCTGAATCGAACCTAGCATGGGGCCTGTGTCCATTAAACAAGACAAAGAGTTATTTACCTACAACAAAATGGTCTTACAGTGAGGGTTTTAATGTCTTTGTCATTTGATGAGAGACATTTTAATCATTTGTTGTTAAAAAACAAAAAAACAACAACAGTATCTATTTTTTTTGAAG